GTGCAGGGAGGGCAGACGATGATGACACCCTGTACAGAAGCTTTTAGTTTGTTTATGGATCCAACATGATGCAGCAAAATCTATCTTCCCTCAATGTTCCGTATCCTTGTGTAAGCACAGGACACATATGAGATACATTCGGCTACGGACAATTGTAAACCGCCCCTTTCCTGCGCGAAAATACATGATGTTAACTCGGATAAGAGCGAATAGCAAATAAAAACAAAATATTAGTAGTATATTTTGGTGTGTTCAACTCAATTCAAATGAAACTAGCCTGGTAAATACAACAACAGTCGTCACAGAGGACCTTACAAAGTTGTTGATTCGCCAACATCAGATCAAAAACTTTTTTTATTTTTTTTATTTTTATTTTATTAGTTTATTTAAACAGGGACAATGCACATTAATTAACATCACTGTAAATGTGCCAGTTTTAGCTCCAAAGCTAATTTTCAACTGTAGTCCCTGGGCAAGATGTAGATTGCCAACAATATATAACAATAACAACAACAATCATTATTAACCTAAAAATGATAAAACAATTCATTAGTATGAGCTCCCACACAACCTATGTTAAAATTCGGCACAAACACTACACCATAGACAATTACACACAACAGAATTACAACGGCAGCAGGCATTAGCACAAAAGCAGAAAAAATAAAATACATTAACATTGATGTGCACAAGTTTGATTCTCAAGTAACCAAGATTATAACTTATTTTTAAAGGACCTTAATGTATCGACATTGCGTATGTGAGAGGGGACAGTGTTCCAGAACTGGACTGCTCTCACTGAAAAGGCCGACTGACTGAAGGCACTTTTCCTAAGGGGGACTAACAGGTTATTTGAGGTGGCAGATCTAGTTTGTCGCCTGCTCAGATTTATAAAATTAAAAAGTGGTGGAGGAGCCAAACCACGTAAAATTTTAAAAACCAGATTAGCATCATGAAATTTTACAAAGTTTTCCCAATTCAGCAGGTTATATTTGTCCAATATACTGCAGTGGTGATGACTTAGATCATAGTAAATGTAAAAATAACACATTGGAGCCAGAGGTCCATAGGGAGCATGTCCATAAGTGTCCATAAGTGTCCTGAAATGTCCCAGATCACCACTGTCCAGAGATCCTCCTGTCTCCGCAAGGAACGACTGAAACATGAAGCTTAAACCTATAATCTGACAACATGACGTCACCTCCTCCGTGGAAGAAAAGTCTACGCAGCTCATATCTGCAGATTTCAGGTAGCAATTAAACATGTTCTAGATTGGGGTTAGGGGAGAAAATGAAACAGTGCTTCAGTTGCAAGTTTCAGCTTTTGGGAACTTTTAATACTACATTCTTCAACTACTTTACAAAGCAACAGTCTTATCAGCGCCTTCAAAACAAGTCAGGGCTGATCTGGGTCTGTGTAACACTGAGAACAGCCCCACAGGCACAAACCACCACATACATTTAGTTCCACCTTAATTCAGATGAGCAAATCACTTTGACAATAGAGCCACATTGACATTCAAAAAAAATAAAAAAACGGTCCAGAGACCAAATGTGTAATAAATGCCGCCGTGTTTAATCTAGATTACTGATACTCTGCAAATGTGTGTAATCATTATGATATTTCAATGAAGAGATTTTATTGATAAAACTGTGATAAGAGCTAGATGTGTGGGCGGGGCTTTCACGGTAAAGGAGTGTGTCTCTTGTGTGTGTTTGTGAATGCGTGTGTGTGTGTGTGTGTGTGTCAGTGTATTAGGAGGGTGTGTTCTGAAGCCACATCTCTGAGAGCTCTAATGAAGGATCCTCTCAGCTCAGGAGACCTGAGGGAGCGATGAGTGGTGAGGGGAGGAAAAGACAGAAGGAAGCTGTTTGGTAAAGGGCCGATGAGAGGAGGATTAATAACGATTAGTGACATAGGTGCCCATTATTTTCTGTATAAATTGTTGTTGTGAACTTCCAATGTAGAAGTAGCCTGACTATCACCAGACTAAATAGCGCATGGGTATATTTATTCTGTGAACCTGTTAATTTTCTTGCAGAGGAGGTGAGGTTTGAGATTGTCCATAGCCGATTATTGGGCTGAATGTCTCTCATATGCATCGACCAGAAAACGAACCATTACTGTTATTTGTGCAAGTAACACACGAGGGAAGATCGCTCCAGCTGCAACATTTTGGAATTGTTAATAAACTTCAAGCTTCCGTCTGTCCAATAGTGCACCATCATCTTTTTGCTGTCCCTCCCCGTTCTGTGATTGGTCCCCAAATCCATGTTAACATTTGGGCCTGAGTCTCCAGCCGGTTGTGCAGCTTGAAATGATTGAATACACAGCAGCAAGAGGATTTGGTGCTCAATTAAGAAATAAATTAAAATATCTTGAAAAACTGCAGCAACAGCCACTACCACAGCTTCACGTTGACTTTATTATTTACATGCTGAAGACAACAACAGTGATGGTGTAAGTACTCACGCATTGTACAGCACATTGGTGGGCCAACTGTTTCAAAACTAACTTCACTCAGAAAACCCTACATCGTGAGTATGTGTGTAGTTTAGTACTGATTTGGTTTTGAAGTTACTATTTTTAATAGTAATTCTGTTGCCTCTGTGTTGTCCTTCCTGACACTGAAATATGGTCTTACCATACATTGTTGTTTGTAAGCATTTATCAAACTGAAATCCAACCCCATGTGGAGTGAGGCCTGGCTGTGCTTGCTCTGGGTTAGTGTCCTCATTCATCCAGCCGACTGGACTGGAATAATTAGAGCTGTGCTGCGGACACCTGATCAACAAACAGTGATGTATGAGGCTGTCTGCTCCAGAGCAGTTTGTATTGATCCTTGAACTGCAGAGAAAAGCTCTCGCTCTGACACATTCCCACACATGCAGAACCCGCTCCTGTCTTTAGGTGTCACTCACATTCAAACAGCGGATTTGATACAAGCACTGTCCCAAAAGAATCAATGTTCATTACTATTTTACTTTATAAAGCTGGTGGTGGATTTGTATTGATTTCTTTAGAATAACACATGGGTCCGGCTCGAGTAGGTACTTATTCACCAGAAACCTCAATCTAAAGATGATGGATAAAGCTCACAGGGACTTTGTGCACTTTTTCAGATGAGCTGATTCCTGCTTGTTGCCTTGAAGATGTTTTTTCTTCACTTGAAATGTAACTATTAAGATTTACAACTTGCATATTTATTAATAATGGCTCCAAAAGTGTTTTGTTTTTTTCCATTTGCCAAGAAAGTAATATACTGAGCCTGCAGGACAAAGCAGACAAGGTTTGGAGCGTGTGTGTGGTAAGGGAGGAGACGGTGTTCCCCGGGACTCAGCAATGGATAAAGTGAAAGTAAATGGATGGATGGGTGGGACATTCTATGAACCACATTTAGATGGACCCGAGTGAAACAACCCTGAGACAGGAAAGTTTGCAGTGCACAAAAAAGTTAAACATTTAAAGAAAATTTCATCTGCTTTCTGTTTTGTCAATGTAAAATGAGGTTAAAAAGAAAAAAATTCAATACATAATTATTCAGACAGTATATTTAAGGCTTTATTCAATGTCTGTTTTCTTATTATTCAAGGTTACATGTTGTTGCCAAAGAGACTTTCAGATGTTATCACTGCTGTTTCCTGTTCTTGCCCTCATCGTTTGTGTTCAAGTAGATTTCTACATAAACCAGTCTCGCCGCTGGATCCACCGCAGCTGCTTTTCCCATGTGGAGTGGCCCACACTGAGCAGCTCCTGTTTCCAGTCTCCATGGAGACCACTTGTCCCACCAATCACAGCACACGCGGCCAGTTCAATTTGTTAAAGGGGCAGTTCTCCTTTTGCAGCGTTTGATTTGTTTGGACAAAAAGAATGATAATTATTAACACCAAGCACTCACTACAGTAGCTGTTCACATATTTATTACACTTAAGTCAAAGATATTTTCCAGAGAGAAATCTCACTCTATCAAAATAAGTGCAAACAGAACCACATTTGAATGATTTATTTAGGAAAAACACAAACAAGGCATTTTGCAGTTTTTCATTTCATGAAATGAAGATGGAATGTTCCCTTTTATTTCTCCTTTGGACCACCAGAACCCTCTGGCCCAGATCCAACAGTTCTTTCTGTCACATTCAGTAAATATTTGCTCAGTACCTGCTGACTTGATGCAGTAGTTGATGGTCTGTATTAAGTTTATATTGCACATAAATAAATGGGGAAACGATGTGCCGTTGATCAGAAAATGTTTACAATGATTGGATCATCATTATGTTATGAGCCTGATGTACGCACAACTCCTAACATCACTATGATACCATTTTCAAACTAACTAGAGGCATATGATCCCCAGCACACTGTTCTACAACGCAGGACTACTGTACAAACCTGGTTTGAATAAAGGCATTTGAAGTCTGAAGACCCCTTTGCATGCACCAAGGAAATGGTAAAGGGAAGTGCCAAAACTTTGTGAAAGCACAAAAGCATTTGCCTTGTGCTTTGTACAAAAATATGTTATAATATAGTTTTTCTATAAAAAAAGGAAGTCTGTTTTTATCAAAATGTTCCTTAAATGTACCTGCTAAAATTGTATCATAAAAGGAAGTAAACAAATCATTAGGAAATGAGGTGACCCTGAAATCTGCCCACGACTCCTCCAGTGCTGGTGTAAAGACACTTCCAAGAGCCCAGTGTATGAGGAGGTATGTTAGAGGCGGTCAGAGACCGTTGCAGCAGATTTAAATATCAAACAGTTTGTAACAATTCAGTGAGAATGTTGCATTGAAGTTAACCCTGTCTGGGCAAATGGAGGCAGAAGACTGCAGTCACTTCAGGTCTCTCACAACAACGTCATCCAAGTCTAAATTACTTCACGAGGTGCCTGAATTAGACCTGATCTAATTCAATAATAAACAATGGCTAATATCAATAAATATAACAGTGCCAGTGGAGTGGCTCCCTCTGATCACAGTCCACTGCTCCAGGTGTTCTCCAGCTGTTTAGTACGTGAAGACCAGGTCAGAAAAGTTAGTTTCTAACCAGTCTCCTGCGATCATCTCACTCAGTTCTGGTGTGCAGTAATCTGGGAACTCAAAATGTGAGCCCATGCTGCCCTCACTGTACGAGTCCAAGTCCTTATCCACCAGAGACAAGGAGAGGTTTCCTGAATTGGGGTTCCCCAGCTCTGAGCCTGAGCCCAAGCATAAGTCAAAGAGCAGCTCATCCCGGTCCCCAGCAGAAGAGGAAGAGGACGGAGAAGAGGATGAAGAGGAGGAGGAGGAGGTGGACGCAGACCTGCAGGGCGCATGCTGCTGCTTGGTGATGTTCTTAATGTTATAAAACAATCTGCTGCCGCTGCTCCGGACCTCTTCGTACATGCTCGTCCCCTCGGACTCCACAGACGAGCTCAGACTCGGGCTGGTGGGCACTTTGGCAACAAAATAAGGCTTCGTGCGCTGCTCCTGGCGCGCGTAATACTCGTCCTCAGAGTCCTCGTCCTCTTCGTCTGAGGGCTCACTTTTCACGTGAACTTTGTAAGACGGGAACACGCACTCATCGTATCCGTGCGCGTGCTTAATAGGGCCCTTATTAGTTTTCAGTTTCGCACACTTCTTGATGTTAACCTTAGTCAGCTTGGCGCACTTCTCTGGAGAGGACGCCAGGGCCTTGGAGTTTTCCTGCTTGGGTTTCTTCTTGGGTCTGTATTTGTAGTCTGGATAATCTGCCATGTGTTTCAACCGCAGCCTCTCTGCCTCACGGATAAACGGAATCTTCTCCGTATCCTTGAGCATCTTCCAGCGCTTCCCCAGCCGCTTAGAAATCTCCGCGTTGTGCATATCAGGGGACTGCTCCATGATCTTTCTCCGCTCGATCTTGGACCAGACCATAAAAGCGTTCATGGGTCTTTTGATGTGTCCATTGGCTGTCTTGCACCAGTTCGGGTTGATGGCCACGGGACTGCATGCCATGAACTCGCTCTCCTCGGAGTCGGTGGCCTCTCTGGACATGCTTCCGTCCGTCTCGCAGTGGTCCATGTGCTGCACCATGTCGTCTGCGCCGGGACAGGGGTGTCTGGGCTCTCTCTCTCGCCGCTGTGCAGACGTCTCGCGTGGCTCTGCTTCCCTTTCACACTTTTTAAACTGCCTTCTTAACTAGTGCTCGGCTTTTGTATGCCCTCCGCGTCACGCCAGGCGCACCAACCACGGCTCTTCCACTCCGCCCCAAGGACCTCATCCAAGACTCCCCTAAACCTCCGAGTGCCTGCCCCTCCTTCCCCCTCCTTGGTAGCCCCCATTGGGGTACATAATGTCTGAAACGAGACCAGAATATTAAACGAGTCAGTCTACAACCTATTTCTCAACGAATATCACCTAAGCCTACCTCTGTCCTTTACCATCATGGAAGGGCAGGATATTTAATGTCATTATTCATAATATTATCATCATTTATTATCATTTATTCTGATTGAGCTCACAGCCCCTGCCTGCCCCTAATTGAGAAATGTAGGTCAGTAATGCAATTCCACGTTAGGCAACTGTTAAAGGTTAAAATCCTGTGGTATCAAAGAGATGTTCTGGCATAAAACATTTACCTGTAATTTGCAATAAAAAATAATATTCTTAGTGGAACTCTTTGAATTGGGCTGCATCACTGTATTGATGTTTATGAAAGCAAACGTGTGCGGCATGGAGAGAGAGATGGAGGCCATGCATTGATTTTATTCTTGCAAGCTGCACAACTGTCTGTACGGCTAGACATGCGCCTGGCCCCTCCCCCCGACACTGGAGCTGCATGAGGCTACAATCTATGGGCTGGAGGCGCCCTGCTCTCTGCATCTTTTCATCCTTTAGAGGGCGCTCTCATCCTCACATAACTCCACTGACTGGTACACCCCATATTATTATAGATCCATGGGTACACCACACATTGATAACGTTTTAATGTTCACTCCTTGAAAAAAACAATGTCATTTTTCCTAGATTAAAAAAAAAAAAAAATACAGCTTGATGGTAACACCAATTGATGGAGATGCCCCAATGAGGTAGATTTCAGTTCCAAACTTCAAGCAAATATAGTGACTCAAAAAGTGATCCACCAAATGGTTGAGCACACCATTAAAGAGATCATATCCAGCCGACAATCCTGCCGCAAGTTTCAATATGACGATAAAATAAAATCATCATGTATGCAAAGTTTGGACAGACATGATTGTATAGGGCTTACATTTTCAAATTGATTCTGAAAATGGCCGTCTTCACATTAGTTTCTCCATGCATTTGCAGAAAGTGCCTCAGCTCAGAGCAGCAGCGAGGGATGAGGAGGGGTCACCTGGACACACCAGCGCAGGAACAGGTGAGGGGTCAAAGTATTCAATACATAACATTATTTTGACACATTTACCAAATGTTGATGCAACGCTGTAAAAAAAATCCTTTCTTCTATCCAGATGAATGAAGAATGAACTAGAAATGCAATCGTAGAGCTCAGACATCCACCAAAAGGAACAGTTGCAATCCCTAAAAAAGGAAGACAGGGATCTGGATCATACAAAAATATAAATACAGGGGCTTTTGCATTTTTCTGCACACACGACAGAAGTGCACTACATTGATGACTGTGAATGCAGAGACGAAGACACAGTCCTGAGGCCCATTCTTGTGTCGTCTTCGTCCTCCACAACCATCACCTCATGATGCTGCGCAGCCTCATGTTGCCAGGTTCCACTCAATGCAGCTGAAAACATCCTCGTTCTCACACAGACGCTTCACTGGACATGATCGGACGCCTCTGACCGCAAAAGCAGTTTTGTTCTGCTTGCTGTTCTCAATGCTGTTATATGCATTATCATGTTTTACGTTCACGACGGAATTGGCTCTGGTTTATGGGGCGTGTGTGTTTTCAGGAAATTTGAAGATGTTTTTTTTAATATACTATCTTTTATGGGCACACGCACACTGCGTCTCAAGTGTTTTATTGCAACAACAGAGCAGCCGTATCCAGTATTTATATATTAGAATTCACAGCAAAAAGATCCTGTGGATCAAATATGCTTTAGATGTATGTTTAACTTATTTCATTGACATGTGCACTGCAATCCTGGTTTCACCCCTAGACCTTTCTGTGTGGGGTTTGCATGTTCTTCCAATGTCTGCGTAGGTTTCCTCCAGGGGCTCAAGTTTGTCTGGCATGTGCCTCCTGTATGATGACCCCACTCTCCTCTGTGTGGAGTGTAAAGTGCTTTCTGAATCTAGTCTGTGAAAGGTGCCATATAAATGAATAAATATTACTTGATTACTTATATTAAGATCTTTTTATGCTTGCCTTTCTATGTATAGATACATTTAAAACTTTTTTATAACTAGTTTCAAATAAAATTCTTAGATAATATAAGAAAATTCCTTATTTGTGACTTCTTGTTACTTAAAATAGCAAATAATTCTGATTCCATTCATGTTTCACTCTGGCTCAAAGAAGCGTAGGAAACACACGTAGGAAACACACGTAGGAAACACAAAACCAAATCAGAGACACATGAGAGCGATACACTTTACTTTCTGATCGTTCAGTAGTGATCAACGGAAGAGGACTTTACCTCAATAAAGAGTTATTTAGTGAAAAATATGCATTTGACTTGATGGTTCAACACAGCGGATTGGAGGGTTTTTTATCTTCAATACCAAAACGGGCATCGTCCAGTCCTCCTAATTCTGCACAGTGTACGAGCTCCCATGATGCATTGCACAAAACACTGGAGATTCAGGATGAGCACAGGTGGTGGTGGTCGTGTTGCAGACCACCCTGGTCTGTGTGGTTCACAATAACTGCCTCACCACGAGACCTATACTTCACAATTCCCACTGATGTCTGCTGTAGTTGTGTCCTTGGGCAAGACACTCACCCCCATTTTGTGTGAATCCCCTGCTGAAAGATCAGGGCAGCTCAGACTAGAGCAGCCCTCCTCCTGTGGATTCAACTGCTGCAGGAGGATCAATGAGGTGTGAATTAAGTTCAGCTCTGATTCACCATCCCGACGCAGAATTTGATTAAGAAACAAAAATAGATGGATCTTAAAGAGTCTTTTATGTGACTGTTGTCATTTTGGGCATTGCCAAAATAATTAGATTTACTTACCGTGGGAGGCCGCTACCACAGTTGACCTGTTACCACTACCCTCGGACTTTCCTTCATCCATGGGGCATGTGTAAATACTGTCACAGCCCCTCCCCATGCATACATAGAGCTCAGCTGGACCTCTGACCTCCCCTTCCTCTGCTCTGCTCTGAAGTCTCTGTACCTGCAGAGGGCACACAGACGGCTCAGCGGGGAGAGCTGGCTCCTGCCGGCGCTGTCCTGCTGGTGACAGGTGCCATGCTGCTTGTGTGCACCGGCTGCTGGTGAGTGCATGTGTCGGTGCACGGAGAAGGTGTGCAAGAGGTGCATGTGAGATGGACTTGTCAGATTCAATTTGCATTTATTTGAATAACATTGTCCTATTATCTTTTTTCTTATTTAACCTTTTGTGGACCAGATAGATAGATGCATAGCTTATTGATCCCTGTAGGAGACATTCAGGTGTCCCGTACCAGCAGTCACATCCATCCATACAAACAAAATAAACAGATATATCATTCTAAAATAGCTAACAATAGTTTTAAGGGGAGTAGCCGCTTGGTTCGGACCATTTTCTCTGCTCTGGTCCAAAGTGAGATGCTGTTTTGGGCCATGATTCTTCTCTGCTCCGGTCTGGACCAGTGCAAAACCATGAACACTACTGCAGCAACATCTCAGGTAACAAAATAACAATTGTAAAACACAAAACATCAACTGTTTCCGAACTTCTCAGGACTTGCTGACGTATCCAGCGCATTCAAAAGTAAATGGAAACCAGGAAAGTCCCATTGAGATCACCAATATCTCAATATTTCAAGGGAGACCTGGCCAAGACAGCAGCTCAGGTCTGTTGCATTACTCTTAATGATAGCATGTTCTGTCCTAGATAGATAGATCGATACTTTTTTGATCCCTGTTGCAAGACATTCAGGTGTCCAGTAGCAGAAGCAGATCTATCCATAAAAGCAAATGATTACATAATTCTAAAAGTTACTAACATTAGCAATAAAGTGCAATTAGGTCACAGCCGCAGAGGTGGTGTAGCCGCTGGTCCTCAATGGGATTATAAAAGCAGCATGTGTTTTGTCACCTCTGGGATTACCTCCAGGGTCGCTACAAGACCTATCTACAGATGTTAACGCTATTGGTCACAGCTCTCTTCAACGAAGATTTTTACCTACTGTATGGTATTGGTACATGTTGTGGGTTATGGGGGAAACTGGTGAACCTGGAGAAAACCCACTCAGACACAGGGCTTTATATGCAAACTCCACACAGAGAGGCCCAGTCCAACACAGGATCAAAACCACTCTGCCCGGCGTGCAAACAAGACCTCGCTGACCATCTCATCTGATCTGATCCAGCATGGGAGCAACAACTGGTTGGGATCAGGGAGTTGAGGTCAGCTCCAGAATATTTTGTCTGTGTTTTGTTGAGTTGCTGGAGCTGCGTATAGAAGGCCACACATATCTTCCTCTGTTTTTGTGACTATTCTCAGCCAGGTCATAAATGCTCAGTAAGCCCTTTCACCAATGGCCCCAATAGCATTTCTATGCCTGAATAGGAAGGTATCAGGCAAAGTGACCCCTGTGACCTCTTGCAGCTCCAGCACTTATTGTCCCTAAGCCCCTGCACCCTCAGAGCAAGAGAATCCACTTTACCCACCGCTGGTCATCTAGCTCAGTGGTAACAGGCCAAAGGTCAACCGGGTTGTCAAAGCATGTGAGTGTTTACAGCTGCTGCATAGACACAAGTCTTACTGTGGCCCACAACCATCCCAGGTCCAAACCTCCAGACCACCAGACCACCAGCGCATTGGATGTACTTGTTTATCAGCTGCTCTCGCTCCTCTGATGATGTGGTTTTGGTTGGACTTGACGGTTCACTTCAGAGTAAATGTTCTCATGTTTCAGCTCAGTCTCTGAATGCAGTGCTCTGATATCTCCTCTCTCGATATTCACGACTCTGGCAACGTCTAGTTTAACTTCCTGGGTTTAAAAACATCCCACTTTCAACAGTGATAACACATGATAAGCAATAATATGATTAGTCTGGCTGTATTCATTCTCTTTTTTGTTAAAGCCCTAAAACCAGCTGAAAACGAAAGAATGCAGCAGGCATAACATTCTATTGAAGAAAGCATAGAGGAGGTTATTGATTTCCACCAGTTTGTGAATGGCATGATTGACCATTATTGACCAGTGGAGCAATAATTGGGTTCTTCCAGAGAGGCGAAAGCTTTTTGTAGGACCATAATCTATGGACAACACATTTTAAGGATAAACATATTAGTTTACTTGAAAATATCCATGGTTAAATGGATGGTTAATGTCTTTATCCCAGTGTTAAAGAGTTAAGAGTGACACGTATGTCAGCCATATTTACGGACATATCTTTGTTTAAACTTAGTTTTGATTTCGAATGCACTGAAATAACTGCAGCTGTGCTCAGATTACTTACTACCAACTAAACAGAAACATTTGGACCAAAAAAACACACTAGTATACAGTGGAAGCAGCCGCTAAACTCTCTGCCAAAGCATGATTGATGCTCCATAAGAGAGAATTTATTAACAACTCATCTTCAGCGTGTTCTATGCCAATTATGCCACTGAGCTGGTAACCTTGAATTTATGTTACCATGACAACAAACCCTGGTCATGCATTATGGATACTATTGAAATTTGACACTGCGAGCGAACACAAAAAGACTGAGACTTAATCAAATAAGCCCATTCTGCATGACACAAGTGAAGAAGTAGCTGGCATTGTGCAGAGGCTGAGGCTGTGAGCAGGCAGGCCCCGGGAGGGTGGCCTACGAGCAGCTGCAGGCCCCAACCCCACAGTCAGCCCCATACACATCAGTGGACATGCTGACAGATGGCCCTTATTGCAAAGACTTCCAACCCAGGAAGCAGCTGGGCTGTCGGCTCACCTTGTTGTCATGGAACATTGAGCAGAGAAGGAGAATAGTGACGCAGAGCTGAGGGTGTGTCTGAGTCACCTCAGCCGTGTCAAACAATTTCCAAACTTGTCTGTGGTATGAAATCCCATTTCATTATTAGAACAATTAAATGTGAACTATGATTACATAGAAGTGTAGTCTTTCACGCAAGACTTTCACAACATTCTTTATATGGAGCCAAACAAAGTCAAATTATGGAACAGTTACCGTGGGATACTTTACGTTAAAGGGCGTGTCATAGTCAGCCATCCGATATTTGAGGGTGGAGCCTCAGGTAGTGCTGCTGTGTGCAGATAGTTTTGTTTATAGTATGTATCTTTTCTGGAAAAAATCTTACATTTTTTTCCAGTGTGAGTCTGCCTCTCATTCTGACACTCGTGCCAGCGTCCCCACAGCGACGTAATCCATCTTCAACCTGCACAGGACTCATAAACAAACTAAGTTTCTTTGTTTCCCAGTTTGGCACTTTGCCTGGGAGAAGCACACAGACACATGCATCAGGAGGACAATGAGGAACAGCAGAGGGGGACAGTCAGAAGACCATAGTCCTCAGTAGGAGGTACAGACGTAAACACCTCGCGCTCTTACCGTGCAGGCCAGCTCCGTCTTTCAGTGTGTGTGCAGAGGCAGCACATGCACAGAGACACTGGTTGCAGGGATGATTAGGGGTGAAATTAATCAGTGTGTTTAATACTAACAATATCTTAGTGTTAATAAGTTGAAAGAAAGCCCTAGTTTTAATTCCAGGGCACTTTCATAAAACCGAAGAAAGGGATATTTTCTTTCTTTTTCAGTCTTTCCTCAGTTCACTCTGAAGAACTGTGTTCAGACCGGATCATGCGTTGAGGGGAGTTTCAATGCAAAGTCAAAGGAGATGTGTCCGTGCAATTCCTTCCACGGACGCCGAGCAACGCACGGCGGAAACGCCTTGTTGTGGTGCAGTAGCGGCAGTGGGTACAGCGGCTGGATGCACGCAGTGAAAGCTGGAGATGAATATCATTGTTCCTTACACGTGCGGAAACCAGAGAGCAGCAAAGTGGTCACAGGGACATATGCATACCAAGAAAAGAAAGTCACTCAAAAACAACCAAAACAGGAATAAAACCTGGAATAAACCAAGAATGAGGATGGGGGACGCGGCGCTTGTGAACATATGTCTTCAGCTTGAGTTGACATTCTACTGTGACTGTAAACAAGTGCTGCTAACGTGTTCGCTGATACTAAAGTACCCACCACTTCCACGCTGCGTTTTTCCCCAACACAGGGCAGGACGTCAGATTGACTGAACTTATGCAGCTGATACTTCCATGCGTCCATGCCTTCATCTACTCACTTCCATCCATCTGCGGCCTGGTCTGGCTAATGCTCAGCGTACATATCGGACTGGCAACTGATTATATCCGTCACATACTGTATGAGTTGCTGCCCCGCACACATCGACAATCTGACGAAAACGGGCAACTCCCAGTAGCAGACCAGTCTCAGGAATGACAGCGCGTACATCGACAGCAACTGGCCTCAACTACAGTGTGTTTTCTGACATAAACTGTTGCGGGCTCGCAATACACGCAATACACACCTGTTGTCGGAGCGGCGCATGGAGCGCGCACATCGGGTCATATCTCCAAAACTGACAACAACTAGTTGTAGAAAAATAGAACACGAGTAACTGACTGAAACTGGAGACCGACTGATCATCTCCAGTTGTAAGGGCGCTCACATCGATCGATTTCGGCAACTGATCTGCTTCCATCATCTACTCTCAGTTGCCAAAAGCCGCCTTGCAACTAGTTGTCTCTTTAGTTTCTCTGTCGATGTACGCTAGGCTTTAAAGTACTGGAAGCAACATTATTAGACACTGCCTCTACACAATCACATACAGTATAAAACAGACATAAACTTTAATACTGTATCATCACAGCACGTCACACGCACGCACAGGATCGCCCAGAGCCACAGATACTAAACACGTTCTTCAGCCAAAAGACTATGGCCCACTTCCTCAGGCAGCACACAGGCTCCGCTTTGCAACTGTAGCTTTGTGCCTAATCATGATGTGCTTCCTACACAGTGTGATATCAGCGCCTAGAGTCGCAAAGGGGTGGAACATTTCCAATACATTTCTGGAAAGTTTCTGGTAAATTTACTTGGGAAGTGAAGCTGGTAAATGTATGGTGTAATCCATATTAGATACTAAGAGTTTATCTAAGCTTAAATATAAACAGAAGTCATAAGAAAACAAAATGTTTTCAACAAATTTATTTGTTGATAGGTCACAAGGGAGGTTTAGCACAATAGGTCTGGGATGCGCCTCCTGTACTGGCGACCCCGCTCCCATCTCTGTGTAGAGTGAGTGGACCAATGCCCAAAAATAATAACAATTGTAAACCGCTTTGTGACTCTGGTCTGTGAAAGGCGGTATATAAATAAAGATTACTTACTTACATAGAACAGAACAAGTGTTAGTTATTTTATTGAAAAATCAATTGTTTCATGGAATGGAGGGCGTGGTCTCTGTAGCAGTATGCCTTGTGCATGTGATTGATGGCATGGATATTCATAGATAATTTTCAACTTTGAACATTTATAGTTTTATCCAACTTTCCCATAAATTCCCATTACATTTGTCCCTGTAGCGCATACCCTCTTTTTATAGAGCGTTTTGGGCCCCCTCTGCAGGCGATTATCCCCCTCTTAACTTGGATCCTGACATTTCTGAGATCTGCACATTTCTGGACTGAGGTTGTTTCAGGGATCTGCTGTAAGCTGTCCCCCAGCTCAGGGGCCACTGCCTTGAGTGCACCGACCACCCCACGCTACTGTCACCTCACCCTTCATGGCCCTCTTGAGCTCCTCTCTGCTCGCTTGTCGTCCTACAATTTTCAAATGTTACCATTTCTTACCATTTCGACTTTCCATTGCCCTTTGTCCACAGCCCTGATGTCTGGTTGGTTTGCCATGTGTATGCACATGTTCTTTTGCCTGTTCTTCACTGGTTCTTCAAAAAGTGCATAGATGGAGAGAACCCCCTGCAGCTTAGATTAATCATGAGCCCCAGCGGCTGAGGTCTAGCAGGGGGGGGAGAAATTAGACTAATGCAATGATCTCATAGGGATTAGTACAACGTAGTTTGTGGGTTCTGTATGTTGTTATTCTCAATTTCATAAGCAACATTTTGGTCATAAAAGATAAAATCTGATGTGTGCATTTTGATCTTGTATTTGGGGACATAGAGTGAAGATGTAATCGGAATATCAACAATTATACATCCTGTGATTTAAATCAAAGATATGGTCTCTCTATAGATCAGATTATTTTGTAAATACAGAGAAACATGTACAACATGAATTGGCAGGAATGATTGAAACATTTTAACTGAAATGTCCTCATTGTTTGGTGAATACATGCTTGTATCTAATATATAAAGTGCGGCGGTTTGGGATACAGCTTGGATGCACCTGTCCCACTCTGAGCACCGGAAAAGCAGTTCTGGACCAGCTTCAATTTTGAGTTAATGACTGGACAATGGCAGTGGGGTGGCCCGGTGGGGTGTGGCTGTCCCGGGGGACATTGCACAGTGAGATTCTGGAAGACGAATAGATGGTCAATATTTGCACAGTAAGTGGAGAGAGAGAGCGAGAGAGAGAGAGAGAGAGAGAAAGAGAGAGAGAGAGAAAGAGAGAGAGAGAGAGAGAGAGAGAGAGAGAGAGAGAGAAAGAGAGAGAGAGAGAGAGAGCGTGGAGGGGGGTAAAAGAGCTGCATAATAGTTGGGTTGAGGGCCTCCGCAGCCACACACCACTGCTGGGAACAGATGGGGCCTGATGAGTTCTGAAAGGGAGGCAGTACCTGCCCTCGTCACCACGCCGCACAATTACCACACGACTCCGGGTTCATTGTCGATTAGAGTGGCAGTTAAAGGCAGGCAGCAGCTGAGGCAGATGGCCTGGATCTGAGGGGGATGGGGACAGCCCCCTCCCAGGGCTTCTGCATGGGCCTGACACTTCCACAAACAGCATCAAGCAGCTTTTGATTAATCATGCTAATTCCCTTCTTCTTATTCCTGTTTTTTTTTTTTTTTGTAATTTGGCTTTGAGGTGAGGTTTGTTGTCATTCTCTTGAGCCAGTTGCCTCAGAGTGTACACTGCTGCAGATGTTTGAAGCAGAGCTGGGGTGTATCACATCAAATCGATAACTTCAATTTAGGATAATGCTCCAGTGGAGTCACGAGATCTCCCACAGGGAGTGTGGGGAAAGTGTAAGTCAGTTACAAAGGTAAGATCATATTTCAAGTTTGGCTTAAACAATATTCATTGCCTAAGACCAGGATCTAGGGTTGGGACCACAAGCTGTCACTGTTGTTGATCAGTGAAACCCCCAGTGAGCATCAGCATGGGTCTGCACCACAGAGATAATTCACCTCATCTGATAATATAAGGATACTGTAGGATAAGAAAACCTTTAATCGACCCAGAGTGAAGAAATGACTATATTTAGGGAAAGCTTAGATGGAACTCCATAAATAAGGTTCCTGGCATAGTATAAAACATCTGTGCAGAGCATGGTCTGGAATGGTCGAGATGGTAAACACCTCCAAAGGTGGTGAGAATGAGCGCGCAACAACATAATGGTGAACCGACCCTATATTGTGGTAGATAAAGAGCACAGAAAAGCTGTGGTGGAAAAGAAAAAACGCATTCTGAGATATCTGAGAAATACCTGAGGTTGAGAGAGAATCTGGAGATGGGGATCTGAACATGGATCATCAACACTGCCTTGTCCAAAACAACAACTGTGAAATTTTACCAAAATGATGCTTGGTCTTATGAGAGTATTATTATCTTTTAACTGGGATGAGTGCATTAAATATCATTTGTACATATCTTAATGTAGAGCACAGTGAATCTGTACGTACTGTAGGCCAACTATTCGTCGTTGTCTACATAAATCTGATGTAGAAAGAAGAAAGATTGTATATAAATCCTGTTTGAAGGAGTCACAGGAGACACTGTGGAAGAATGTGGAAGAAGTTGCTTGATCTGATGAGACCAACATTTTTGTGAATGGTGAAAAACTAACACAGCTTCGCACCATCACAGTGTCATCTATGGTAGGGGGAGCATCATGCTATGGGCCGTCTTGCTTATAGCAGGGATATTGTAAAAAATCCTGGGTAGAAACTTTCTGGCGTCAGGAAAACTCTTGAGACTGGGAAGAGTTTTACTTTCAGCAGGACAGTGGACCTTATCACAGCGTAGAGCTACTTCTACACAAACTTTTGGTGAGCTGAGCAATCTGACAGCAGGTGTGGAGGGGCTGTGGCTGATTTCAAGGTGACAGACTGCACATGAAAACTGCTTGAAACCTGATGTCTGTATTGATTGTGTTTGTGTAAAAATGCTATTACATGTCTTTGTATCAATAACCAGAACCACACACAGCACATCAGCAGCAGCAGCATCAGCAGAGAGATAAATCAGTTACCTCGTTTCTATAGTTCCATGTTCCTCGCTTCAGTCTAGTCCTGGAGACTGTTCTCCCTGCTCTGGGTCCAGAAACTAGGGATGATAAATGAACATACAAAAAGTCTATCTGGACAAGTCCGCAAGAGGCAATCTCATCATCGCGCAGGAGGCTCTGTTCAGTACGGGCCCGTGGTTCAGCAAAGTGGGTTGTCTTTCATTTATCATCAGCTGTTTCTGGGCTGGATCAGAGGGCCGCGCACGTAATCAAAAATACATTTTAAAACTGGGATACAGATTTTGACACTGTATTTAAGAGACAACAATTGTGAATTGCTGTAGATAAAATGGTATGCAAATTGCAAACAAAGATAATTCAGAGGACAACTCCTGACCCATATGTGAGGTGTCTTTGGGGCTCTAACATCAAGCTTCACTCTCTGCACAACTCTTCACTGGAGCGAGCTCTGGGGAGGAGCAGCAGGGGGCTCTGCACAAACAGCAGCCACACTCCACTCTTTCAGCCGCACAAAAAACTCCTGTTGTGTTGAGCACAAGCCTTTTCATCAGTGGGCTGCCCCCGTCCTCCTCTTATACCCAGTAGGGCATCATTCCTTCTACTTTATTCCACCAATAGTGAGCCAGGCGTCTGGGCCGTCCTGATAGCAGGAGATGTAGCAGCCTATCCATCTGGCTGCTGTGGGCATGCCAATAAAGAGAGAGGGCCAGAGGTCCTCATTCATAACAATGGACATTAACAAAGCTAACCCAGCTCTTCAGGGACTCAGAGAGAGAGACTGCAGGGCCAAAGGCCTTGGGCTAGGGGCCAAGTTTGTAGCTAGGCAGAGCTGGCTTCAAACCAAATCTGTATCTAGTAAACTCTACTGATTTGAATGTATGTGGATCTTATATCTTCTTTAGATACAGTTAGTGCAGATGAAAGTTTGCAACCAGTTTAAAAAAGTGCAACATTGAACAGGTTTCACTTTATTTGGTTTGTTATTTGAGACAAAACAGAACAGTATAAAATCAGTGCACAAGCAGATACATATACAATGAATTACACAAATGAAAGAAGAGGATGAAGGTTCTGATGGTCTGTTCTGAGTGCAGAGTGCTCCCTCTTCACAGGAGGCAAAATAAACCTCAAAGATTAAGTGAATAAAACATAAAACAAAGCTGATGAACAAATCATAGAGTAGACAATATACAAACCTGTGTGGAACAGACACATCATTTGTGGATCTTTGGGGCGGCGAGTGCCACAGACTGGACATGGTCTGTCCTGTTTACAAACAAACATATTGTAACCATAGTGTGTGTAGTGTATGTGTATAGAAATATACATTGAAAACACTGTACACGTTCAAATGAATGTGCAGACATGCGGGGCCCTGCACACAGCTGAGGACTCTGTCTTCTCCCAATGTTTTGGGTTCAGTCTGAGAAACAGTTTGAACAGTTATTGAGTTTTACATCTGTTTCAGTGGTATTTATCAATGAATGCATCATTATTAAGACCAGGCATGTCTCAGATTGAACATACCTGGTCAATGGGCATGAAGGTGAGCTGTTCCTCTTTCACCTCTGCAGCTCCAGCTATTTCACTCCTCCTTCTCTGTGGCGCAAACACACTGCCTCCTGCAAAACAGAAAAAAAATAAAAATATATAGGTTAATTCTTGAGTGTCACATCTGATGTTGTTTTGTCTCATTTACATATAAACCTCTGAAATAATAATAATGATCACAACCTAGTTATACAGAAAATGTCTGAATTCAATATCCATGTTATAACCGTGCTTAGTTTAGAATTGGTAAAAAGTGTGAAGCGCACCGAGGAATGAGGAGGCTCCGGGCTGCCGCCTCTCTGCTGCCCCCGTCTGGAGACTGGTATTCCCATATTCTCTTGACAAGTGCACAGGCACCAACTCAAACATAAACACGACATAACATTAAAAATAGGCTCACGCAGAGGTGAAAAATATGCCATTTTAACTACAGGAGAAAACACTCACCGAGTTTTGTGTTTTACTTTGTCTTCCACTAGAGCAAATGCACATGGGAAAATCAGATATGGAGACCAGATATCCAAAATTAAAGGGAGGGAGTAAACAGACAATTGTGAGAAGGGGTAGGCTTTGTCCAATCCTGCAATTATGGCTTAATCAGACCTGTTCTGTTATATCTGCAATACTTCGGTCATTGCTTTTTTCAATATGTTCTATAAAAACAGGTCAAAATAAAGCTTTCTCTATATTGTTGAATTGGTGGGTGTGAATCTGGTCACAAAGATGGACACATTGGCATTTAAAGTAAAAAAATAAATGCTAAATGGTTTGGATACATGCTTCTGGGACATGGGGGAGATGGTGCAGAGAGGACTGTCCCGGCCTGGATCCAAGAATCTCTGGTTGCCTTTTATGAAGCCCCCTTTCCACCGGCCCTACTCTACTCTATACGGCTCTACTTTCCCCCCGATTGAAAGAGTTTCTACTGATTAACCGGTACCAGGTTCTTTTTCAGAGCTGGTATTAAAGTTCTAACTGACAGTGATTGGTCAGAGAGCTGCTGAAAGCCATGGTTACCTAGGAATTTCCCCAGATACTGGTTTGTGGTGGGTAGGTTGCCAGGATACGGTGCCAGATACTAAAGTGTAATGGAAAGGCAACCAGGTAGAGTAGAGCCGAGTAGAGGAGTAAAGTGTTATGGTGCTGTCAGACCGCATCATGCGTTGCGTCGGGTTTCAATGCAAAGTCTATGGTGGCGCGCGTTCGACCGTCACAACGCACGGACCGCTCGGCACGCACGAACGGACTGTTCAATAATGAAGCACGGACTTGGCGGGAAAGTGAAAAGGGAGGAGCAGGAACGAAAAATCAACGCCCACAGGAGATGAATTCTGCTCATCCTTTCCTTGGGAAGTTTGTGCGACAACCAATCAGAGAGCAGCAAAGTGGTCACGGGGACATTAGCGGACTGAGCGAGCAGACTGAAAATACTCGTAAACAGCCAAAACAGGACCCACACCAGGCTTCACCAGAACTCAAACCAGGGTTGACAATGGGGGACTCTGTGCTTGTGAAACTATGCGTTGTCATGCTCCCGTGACCTTATGCAACGGCTTCAAGTGTGTTCGCCGATGCGGAAATTCCGTTTAATAATATGAAAAAACGTATGGTGCACCTCCGTGAACACATACTATTGTTATATAAAGCCCGTGGAATGTCTATGAGCAAAGACACGCTGCAAAGCTGCATATTGGAGAAGATCTGTACACAAGAAGCCGCTAGCATAGCTCTGTTAGCATTAGAGCCGGCCGGCTACTTCCGGTACTTCCGGCTCGCGTCAGGACGTTCTGGTGTGAAGTCCTCTGCGTCTGAAAACTAGAGAATCCGCGTCTGGTGAACGGGGCTTCCGCGTTTCAGCGTTGGCGGTCTGAAAGCCCCATTAGAGTTGGGTTGAGTAGGACTGGTGGAGATGGGGCCATAGAAGAGACCCAAGAACAAAACAGAGGACATGTTTGAGTTTGTTCTTCTTACAATCCATACGAGCTGTTCTTGTTGCTGAGAGGTCTGTTGTAGAGACGCTGGTCGTACGGGAGGGCTTTAAACCTCTCTGCTCCCACCGCCACATAGTGCTGCTGGTTTCTGAGCTGAGCTGGACTAGACAGAGGCCGGCCTTCCACTGTGCATAGTCTGGAAAGAGGTCGTTCTACAGGGCTTTACTCAAATAAATGAATAATTATATACTGTATTGTCAACGGTTTTTCAACTTGCCATTGACAATACCCTTAACTCATTGACTGCCAGCTGTTTTTGATGATTTCACTGATTTTCAAGACCCACAAAATATTGCGTGGTATGACTATGTGAAATATGACACCAGATTCTGAAAGACTGGACTGTCCACTTTTATCAGCAAAAATATGTTTGTTTCTTGCTAGTTTTGTTGTCCTGTAATCCCCAGTCACCCAGTCAAATAGAGGGAAGTTTGACATAAATCACAGGTCACAGACAAATACGTCAATGGCAGTCCATGAGTTAAAGACAGCATCTTCTCTCAAACATGACAGCTTGTTCTTCATCAAAAACAGACCTGTTGTCCGTCCATGCTTCTGTCTAAAAGCTCCTGTCTCAGTCCTGTGATAGTATGATGTCAACAACTCTCACAGCCGTATTCTGCATTTTAAGACAAAATTATTGCTGATTAAATAGTTTAGGAAATTTTTTATGTGAGAGAAAGAGAAGTTCTTTACAATTGCATGGTAGTGTTTGCATCCAGCCTAATTTCAGAGAAAAAAACACATCCTACTCTAGTTGCAGCTTAAGGATAGAGGAGGACGATATATCATTCAGCCTTGACAAATGTTTGATAATATATTTTCTACTGAGGATTTTATTTTCTACTGAAGATTTTATTTTCTACTGAAGATTTTATTTTCTACTGAAGATTTTATTTTCTACTGAAGATTTTATTTTCTACTGAAGATTTTATTCAAAAATGAATGCATAATATTACTCTAACATAAAATCAACAAGTCAGCAGTGCAACATCTCAGAGCTGGGTGCAAAAAGACATATTAAACAGATTTAGCTCCAGATTTTTCAGATCAAAGTGAAATAGAGATAACACAAGATAGAAAAAGAGAGAACACAATATCTTTCAGCCTAAAGAAGTCATAAAAGTGACATTTTGGAAAATAGAATATCTTTGAAAAATCCTCTTCAAATATGATCTAGACTCAGACAGTGTTAAATAACTCCAGGTCTGTTTGTGATGAGTAACAATGTTGAAACATAGAGAAACACTCAAACTTTAACCCTTCAACTTTCATAGACTCAAATTACATCACATTAGCATTTTATTGTTATTACTATTGTTAGCTTTTTAGAATGATCTACTAATTTGTTTTGTTTGTGTGGATGGATGTGTTTTTGCTGCTTCTAGGCACCTGAATTTCTCCTACGGGGATCAATAAACTATATCTATCTATCTATCTATCTTTCTATCTATCTATTTATCTATCTACCTACCTACCTACCTACTTACCTACCCATCTATCCAACCATCCACCCACTCAACCTTCCCATCCATCCATCCATCCCCCCACCCAACCTACCTACCCATCCATCCACCCACCCAACCTAACCATTCATCCATCCATCCACCCACCCAACCTAGTGACCTACCCATCCATCCATCCATCCATCCCCCCACTCAACCTTCCTATCCATCATCCATCCACCCACCCAACCTACCTATCCATCCATCCACCCACCCAACCTACCCATCCATCTATTCACCCATCCAACCTACCCATCCATCCACCCACCCACCCAACCTACCTACCCATCCATCTATCCATCCACCCACCCAACCTATCCATCAACCATCCACCCACCCAACCTAACCATTCATCCATCCATCCACCCACCCAATCTAGTGACCTACCCATTCATCCATCCAGCCACTTCCCCACCTATCCATCCATCCATCCATCTATAAATCAAAAATCACAAAAACCAAACCTCACCTCTGCACCGCTCCTGTGCGAAGCCTCACTTTCTCCGCCACCATGGCCAAAACATTATCCCAGCTTTTCAGTGTGTATTTGGGGATACGCACTCTCACCGGAGGAAACAAAACCTCCCCGTTCCTGAAAACACTATCAAACACACCCAAAATGATCCAGTCATACCTGGAGTGAATATTCTGTGGGTTTACTGTATCGTGCAGGTGCCATCTTTGGTTTTGCCCCAGCGAGAAGAGGCCTGGCTCTGGCTCTGATTCTGGACGACAGGGAGTATCTGGGAGTCAGAGAAGGAGAGAGATCTTCAGCAGTTTTCTTTGTATACAAGCTTTATTTCACTCTTTTAGCTGCTCGTTTGTGGCTGTCATGTATCGTGTTGCTTTTACTCTTTCATAATTACACTGCTGCGCTCAGGGAGAAGCCATATTCCATTTCAATGCCGGCCTGTCAGGGATTTCTGCTGACACGGCCGAGCAGAGCAGCAGGCCGCATTTGAATAGTAATTATTGTCTGTGGGGCTGGCGAGAAAGAAAAGAATTCACTTTTTTTTTTTATCCCATGTTGACTGATCTTGATTTCCCATTAGATTTAGGTAAAATACTTCGGTCACAGTAAAAGGTGCAAACACACGAAAAAAAAAAACTAAATTCAAATTCAGGTGTCCATATTTGCCGTCAACCAAACGTGAGATAATAATTTTTAGATTCTTGGCACAGTAATATTGTCTGTATATTAGTGAGCTCTGTAATCCTGTCTCTAAGGTCCAGATGCCAGAGTCCAAAAACCCTCCATTTTTAAATCATTATTATTATTATTAATGCAGGCTGGATGTCACTTGCTTGTGATGACCATCAATAGCTGTTCATAGAATTTTGATTAGTCGCATGGTCATCCATTATACATGTGCTCCTGTTTACACATACAAAGTCTGATTTGTACTAAACGTGACACGGTTATTCTACTTCTGGGCCTGGGTCACCTGAAGGTGTGAAATATTACATTGGCTCTTTAGCGCCCCCTACAGAGTGAGCCAAACGGCCGAGGAAGAGATGATTTCCGACCGACATTTGTGAAAATGATTATTTTTCATTTTTACATTTTGCGATGAAATTTATGGGCTTCTGGTTTGTCTGTGGGCATGGCCATAATACATATTTTTTTCATGTCTTAATTGAAAAACAAATTTTGTGGCTCTACAACAAACTTGACCTCGGACCCTCTCCCATAGGCACATTATAAACTGACTTTTGTAGGGTGCGCTGTTATGACATGTTTTTAGTCCCATAAATATAAACACCAAAAAATGTAATTTTTTGCCAGCTTTCATGCATGTTCAGGCAGTCAAATTAGGTGTCAAAGAGCAGAAGAATTTTTAGAAAGTCTCAAGGCACCTGATACATCATTTTAGAGCGTTTGAGTTTACGCAAGCAACCATCACGTTTTGGTGAGTGACGGGCACTAACGCGTCCGTCACGCACCACGACACCCTTGCATTCACCATTGTGAAAGCAATAGGCCCTTACCCCAGTCGGGATATTCGGGCCTAATTTTTGAACGATGTTGTAATTTTCTAAGTTTCCTGTCTCTCTGCCATCAATCACATGTTGGAGGTACTCTCTGTTATGACCTTAGGCCTATAAAATGCTCCTTTTAGGAGTACTGTCTTTGTGTGTGTGGCAACCCCTCCCCCCTGTCTCTGGAGTCCTGTCTTGTGATTGGAGGACCGCTGGCCCTCTTACTTCCTGGAAGTCTCCAGCTCCAGGCACTGATTGGAGGAGCAGCGCTGCACTTGGCCAATCAAGCTTCCACACCTGGAGTCTTCTGTACTTAAGGCCACACTTCACACCTTTTCAGAGCGGCCAGACTGTGTCTGGCTGGTCTGCCATTTTGGTCCTCATTTAACAGAGCTGGGTTGTAACACTCTTTAGTCCAAATACTGAATGTCCACAAACATCATAACCTGCTTTCCTCCTTGTTGCATCCATCATGGCTGCTGTAAGTCCAAGAGGACTCTCTCAACTCTTAAGTCATTCAGCAGAAGGATCAGAGGAGGCAGACCAGGGGAGATCAGAGGACCAGGTGAGAGCAGGGGACTAAGGGGAGAGTAGAGGACAAGGTGAAAGCAGGGGACTAAGGGGGGAGCAGAAGGATCGGGTCAGAGTGGAAGGACCAGGGGACCATGGGATCAGAGAAAACAAGTTATACACATTAGTTACGACATGAGTACACTCTTTACCTGCACGTTTAGTCTCATCTGCGGCGTCTTGGCTGTTATTTCAGAGTAACTATGAAGCAGAGAAAGAAACCCACATCTGAATCAAATCTCTTTCTCTCTCACTAACACACAATCTTTATCCTCTCTCTCGCTCTCTCTCTCCTTCTCTATCTCTCTCTCACTAACACACACTCTCTCTCATCTCTCGCTCTCTCTCTCCCTCCATCCCCTCTCTTCTTCCTCCTTCTCTGTCCCCCTCCCCCTCTCTCCCTTTCTCTCTCTTCTTCCTCCTCCTCTCTCTCCCTCTCTCTCTTTCTCTCCATGCAGCTCCGTGTTTAAAAACTTACTCCAGGTGTTTGAAGCTCTCGTTGCCCGCCGCCACGTACCTCCCTCCAGCCTCCAGCTGCTGCAGCCTCCGCAGCCTCAGACCCCGCAGGGAGAACAGTTTCCTCACGGCCCCAAACTGCACTCCAGCCCCGGTCCCGGCCCCAGAGCGCACTGATGACAGGTGATCCAACAACACATCCAGACTGGAGAACCGCGCACTGACCACGACCCTCCGGCCCACAAAGAACCCGTCTCCATTCCTATACACCGTGATGGTCTTGGCCTCGGGCAGCGGGCCTGGCTTCATCCTTCTCTCTGCTCTCTGGACTCTCTGGACTCTCTGGACTCTCTGGACTCTCTGAACTCTCTCTGGACTCTGGCTGCAGCGAGTAACAAGAGAGAGAGAGCATCTGATATGGGAACCATTCTCCACATGACAAGCATCACGGAAATCTATCCAGCACCTCAGCCCGTGTGGCATCCATCAGTGTGTTGTCAGTGCGTTTGACCTCAGCTCAGGGTTCTGTTACTAATATGAACAGGACATGTAAACAGTGTGTGCGTGTAAGAGGAAGAAGGAGTTTATAAAGAATACAAATGAGGTGTTCTAAAATAATACTTAGAATACTTTATTTTTTATTTTTTATTCAGTGTTTTTACCAAACAAATTCTCCTTTGAAAATGATCAATTGTTACAAAAAAGTATTCAGTATTCATTATGAAATAAATTGTTGATAGTAAAATGTTGAAAAACTATTACAATATTGTGTATAATAATAATATTAATACAGTTAAAAAACATAAGCAATACACAATACAGAATTGGCATCCTCTCAGAGTTATTAATGCGTAACCCCCTTACACACATACACCTACACACACATACACACACATACACATTCACTTACACACAGTCACAATCATACACACACATAATAAGCACACAGACAAACAAACACACACACACTTACATGCTTACTCTCTCGCACACATTTGATTAATCCAATTTCCAAATATAACTGTTCTTGGCTCCAATAAGACTTCCTCTTCCAGGACACAACGCACATTTACAAATGACCCATTTCCGACGTTACAATTGACAATATTTCTATTCCGACTTGAAGCTCAATAAATAAACAAACAAACACAAAAGTACATCCTTTCATTAACTGAGTTTTGTTGCATGACTGTTTCGTTTTAACTGAAAATTGCAGATTTTCTTCTAACAGAAGAATTGTGTTTTTAAATGTATTCAGCAACACAATATACAGGGCGAACTAAATTAACATTTTATCTCAGCATGAATTATTTATTTCTCTGGGGAGCAGCTCTGCTTTATAATAACCATGCATTACATAGTCAAATGATGAGGGAGATAGACATCTGGTTAGAGGCTTAATCCTATCACAGCCACAGCAGGGAGCTGCTGGTGCTGCTGCTGGTGCTGCTGCTGGTGCTGCTGCTGGTGCTGCTGCTGGTGCTGCTGCTGGTGCTGCTGCTGGTGCTGCATGTCACTCACTTCTAACATCTACCACAGCCTCTCTCCTCCAGAGTGTGTCAGATGTGGTCCTTGCTGAACTCACAGACAAAGTACATGGTGGGGCTGCAGGACACGTCGGTCCACTCCCCCGAGGACAGCAGGTCGGTGCAGTCCTCGTCGTCGTAGGCGTTGTTGGGTTCTCCTCGTCTCCAGGCGCTGAAGGTGCTCATGGGAGACGAGTCCACGTAGGTGAAGACGCCCTCTCGGTCCACATCGCTCAGACCGATGTAGACCCTGCTGACCCCAGCCTCCCGCAGGTAGGTGGCGATGGCTGAGTTGGACTCCTGGTCTTTGGGCATGGCCAGATGCCCTCCCCTGGCCTGACAGTACAGCTGGGCGTCCCAGAAGCGCTTCTCCTCCTTCACCAGCAGATACGCCGCTCTCTCTGTCTCCTTAATGCCAGCGACAGCTGCAGGGGAGGGCAGGGCTGGAAAATGACCACTTGGATTTCTAAAATTTTTGCTTTGAGCATTGAGTAACATTGAGACACAGTGTAAGGAGGAAAACATACCATTTTTAATGAATTTCAGTTCTGTGGATAACTGGTCAACAAGCAGATCCATCTCTCCAATCAGCTTCCTTATTGGAGCGCACTCACAGGGCAGGCCTATATAAAGCAATGCAGTAATGTTCATTTAAACTCTTTCTGTGTAAATGTAAATAAATGAAGAGAGTGTTGGAACTGACCGGGCTCTCCATTTGGACCTTTTGGACCTGGGTCTCCTGTTTCTCCTTTATTTCCTGTTTCAAAAAGGTTGTATTTGTACATTTTCCACCAAAACATGAAAATCTAAGGTTTTCCAAAGAAAGACACTGAGAACTTGGAAGAATTCCTTTGGAATCCAGCAGCAGATAAATCTATGGAGCACTTATCTGCTCGGCCAATGACCTTTCATTCCACTGGGCCCCACTTTCCCATAGCGTCCCAATGCTCCTTTGTGGCCTTTTATCCCAGGTGTGCCTGGAACAACAGGATCAGTACATTCATGTGTCCACAGACAGTGTCCCTGACTTACCCATGTCTCCTGGAGGCCCCAGTCTTCCTGGTCGTCCTGGGGCCCCTTTATGGCCCTTGTCCCCTGGTTCTCCTGGAGAAAAGACACAACGGCTGCAATAGAGAAACAAGTTACACAGAGCATGTGAATCTTACCTTTGAGTCCTGGGACCAGGATCTGCACCGTGCACGACTCTTCTGGCTGCTGAGCGTAAGACGAGTGGAACAGAAAGAGAGCAGAGAGGAGCAGGAGCGCGGGGGGAGCCATGCTGCACTCTGGCCCCTGACCTCGGAACACTCACTGTAGGAGACTGTAGTGACTTTAGTGGCACTAGTGATCAGTGAACGTCTCTGAGTAGAATGCAGAGGTCTCACCTAGAGCTGAGCTGAGGCTGGAGCTTCTCTCTGTGAGAGTGAGTGAGGAGGACAGTGATAGTGCTGAGTAAACAGTCAGATAAGAACCCTCACTAAACATAATTGGCTGGGAAAGTATTCAGGGGCGTCTCAAGAGCAAGAGTAACTCATCATGGACTTGTTCACTTTATAAAGACTTGGTTTGTCTTCATGTTCATAGTATCATGGGCTAACATTACCAACTGTGCTTATGCAGCACCTATTACCCCATATTCATCTGGCCCACTCTGCAACGAGAAGCATCAAATTAGATAAATAATGACATTCATAACAATATAGCTTTTCCTAATCCTAATATATTTAATCTTACATTGACCTTTGCAACAAATTCTATACTCATACCTCAGGACTGTGGGAAACTGTCTCTGTTGTGCCTTTTGTATAAACTGTGTGTCCTCCTTTCACATACATGTCATAGTGTGATTCTGATTCTGTGTTGTGATGTAGTGGTAAATTCATAGGGGACAATGATCCACGGCTGCCTCTCCCCTGCCAGTCTGGCACAGGCCCTCTGCGGCTCCAGTAAACACATTTGGATTTTCCATAGACCAGTACAGTGTATAAAGTCTATTCATTAGTTCCGTTATTATATTTTACAATTTTGCATCACTGACCGTTACAGTCTGTTGTTTCTCTCCTCTATTGCCACACGGGGGAGCTATTGCCATTGCAGACCGAAGAACGCGATACAATCATTTCAGCAAATGGTAATTACGGGAATGGAAACTTAAACTAAACAATCACACGTTTTTTTCTCACAAAGAAGCCGTGACACGTTGAATTCGTGGTTAACACAGTTGTACAGTTTAGCAGCCTATATTTCGAAGCTGTATGATGTGTTTTGTTTGTTATAAGATCCAGCCTATCAGGTGTCCTCATTACAGAGAGGGGGATAAGGTGACTTCTTCTAACGCTCCTCAGTGTTGGGTGACTGCCTGAATTATTGAACAGCCTTGAGGCGCAGAGTGCATGTAGACGATTGTTTACCCATTCAAAGTCAGATATGGTTTAAGTCTTTATTCTGTCCAGTGCGGTGTGGTGTGTGAGGTGGAGGAGGCAGTAGGTTTTAGAGCAGCAGGTCGGAATAAGTTCTGTATTTTCTGCTTCTGTTCACATTTCACGTCAAAGTTTTTAACTGCAGCTGATAATAGATACATTATCAGTAACATTGAACGAAAACATTCACGCAGACGAAGACTTATTGTTATATTTATTATTATATATTATTATTATTATTTATTTCAGACACGAGATAAAATACGAAAAAGAAAAGAAAAGGGAATGCAAAAAAAAAAAAAAAGATAATGCATTCAAATGTATAGAGTCAGTCCCAGTCTAGAGGTGGTAGAAATGACAAGAGTCTGCTTACACGCGCATGCACACGCACTTTGCGAACCTGTGTGAGTGACGTCATCGTGCGCACCGTGTGTCCAGGAGCCTCGCGCGTCCGTCCGCAGCCCCAGGAGGAGACAGGAGCCCGCAGCGCATGAGGAGCAGACAGAAGAGAGGTCTGCGAAGAACACGCATGTAAGTAAGACTTTTTTGCGTGACAAAAACTATAGTGTTGGAGCCCGTCAGCTGCTCGGCTTCCGTCTCTCAGCTAAAGGCGAAGATTTGTTGCCAAAGTCATTGATTTTATTAAGTTGATTGGCAGCTTAACCAGCTCCTGTGCACAGTTCACACAGTTGGCATGTCCTGCTTTCTCCTCTTGAGTCCTGCTTTAGTTTCTCGTTCAGGACAGAATATATATGAAAATCCCCAACAGAGTGCTGCAAAAAGTGATGAGAAATAAGTCAAAAAGTTGCATAATTTCTACTAATTTGACAGCCTTTGCACAAGATTTGCCAATGAGACAAAGCAAAAAAAAGAAATTTCTCTGAGGAAAAAAAGCAACAGTTCTTGAAATAAGACATTGACACATCTATTTAAATGAAGACATGTAACACATGATTCAAGCTATTTTTTACCTCATATTTGATCACTTTTTGGGTGTCCAGTAATAAAACCTGTGTCAAGGTCAAAAGTGTGTAGTTTATTATGAAAAGGAAACATTTTCTTGGAGTTGTTCTTGAGAATTCTTAGCTATTTTTTTTATTACCATATTTTACGAACAGCACAGAAGTCTTGTCTGAGTTAAAAGTGTAGGTTCAACTTCTCACTCTGAGTAATTCCACCAGTGACAAAAGCAGTATTTGTTTTGAAATGAAATGCTGAGTTCTTGTTGTTGTTGTTATTTTCTGCTCATGGATGTATGTTAACTCCACCCATGTTTGTGATCTACATCGAAAAACACAATTCTATCCATCCATCCAATCCTATAGTTTTGGACTGAGGAGTGTAGATAGATGTGGTGGGTGGTTGCCTCAGGGCGGACGTGGTGTGTGTGGCGTGCTCCATGTCTCCGGCAGGAAGAGGAAAGAACTGGTCTGTTTGTGTCCCACTTCCACCACCTCGCATTGGGGACCGTGCCAAAGTGGTGACCCAGTAAACAGTATCAGGCTGTTTGGATGCATAGGAGAATATAGAATAGTTTATATACAAAAACGGAAAAAAACAACTTATAATTTTCTCTTCACCAAATAGTTTTGTGAAAAGCCATCTATTTTAGTGACATAAAAAGGAAGTTTCACCCCTTCTTGCGCGAATTCCTTCAAGTGTACTGCCATTAACAGAACATGTTGAAGATGGTATACAATATTTGGACAAAAATGGACAAAATTGGACAAAATGGAGATATCTGTTTTTGCATCAATGAACTCTTAATGAATGGTTTGCACCCATGGATCTATTTTTTGCACCTAACCGAAAGAATTGATACTGGGCATTATTACAACCAATATTCAATCATTAAAATCTTGGTGTAGGACAGCAATGCACTGCAAAAAACAATAAATTATGGGGTAATAAATGCTGGAATGGAGTGGTTTTAATCTCATTACAAGGGAGACATGTCTTGTTTTAAGGCAGTCAAAATGTGCTCAACTTAAAGGTATATTGAAGGATTTTCCCAAATTTTAGAAAAGATCCGCCCTCTCCACTTTTCTAACAAAACTCTCTGGTCTTATTTGATGAGCACTCGTCACCAGAATGATTGACAATTGGGAGGACCAATAGTCCTTGTAAAATTCTGTTTTTTCTCTATGCAAAAAGTGTATTGCAAAGTGACAAAATGAACAAAGCATTATTGCTTTATTGCTCATGTGTAGTTATATGTTAGCATCTGTACATGTTAGCATGGATATAAACATACTGCTGCTAACATGTACAGATGTAAACATACTGCTGCTAATGTACAGATGCTAACATACTGCTGCTAAAGTACAGATGCTAACATACTGCTGCTAATGTACAGATGTTAACATATAACTACACATTGCTTGAATACACAGTACTTTATACTTGCCTCTTATTTCGCCAAATATAAAACTTTTACACTTCTTTTTATTATTATTATTTTCAAGATCGAGATTTTTTTACTTATTATTGATGCTTGATTTAGAGATTTTGTTTTATTTTAATTAGTTTAGCTATTGTTATTGCACTTATCTTGTGCTGTGTGCTTCTCTTTCCGACTGTTCTATAACTTTTTCCACTGTGGGACAAATAAAGTATCTCTTAATCTTAATCTTAATATATGTGCAAGAGCCGCACAGGTCACTTTATGGCACTTTGGGCTTATCACACAGAAGCTGTTGGGCTGTGCAGGTGGAGACACACAGACGCATTATTTATTCATGATGCGAGAAATGAAATATCCACTTCCCCTTTTTGTTGTTTGATCAGGTACCTACAGCCGGTACCGAATTCTCAAACCATGTCATACAATCCATCCAAGTCATTCAAAACAGTTCGGTTCCATCACTAGTTTTTACACGGATATATTTGTTAGATCAGATGTTAAAAAGTGAAAGAGAAAGAAACACAGGACCAGCTCTCAGGCCAAAGCATCAGACAGTAACTCACAATATGCAAAAGATGAAATGTGTATCTGATGATAAGATAAAAACAGGACCATTCATTGTTTCTATCTTGTTTTGTTCAGCACTTTGAGCTGCCGCGTGTATGGATTGTGCGTTACGGGGAAAAAAAAACACTGGCCTTGCCTATTACTACCCCTTTAATGTTCACTCCTTGAAGAAAGCAATTTAAATGTGTTTTTGTATTATTTATAGTTTAAAAGTTTAAATATTTTCATTATTATTTTTTATTTACAGTAGCTCAGTTGGCCTTTGGGCCTGAAGGTCGTGGGTTCGAGCCGTGGGTTTGAGCCCACAGTATTATACCTACTCCACCACTCGCACTGATGACTGCTGTTGTTGTGTCCTTGGGCAAGACACTTAACCCCACTTTGCCTGAAGCCCTCGCTGAAAGATCAAGGCTCCTGTGGACTCACCACCTGCAGGAGGATCAGTGAGGGGCTGGTGCTGTGTGTACTGGGTGCAGCTCTGACTGCCAGCCCCTGACCCAGAAATGGATTAAGGGGAAGAAAATGGATGGATGGATTATTATTTTTAATTATAGGCCTTCACCAAATAGTTGAAATACAGTTTGATGGTTAAAGTGCCTAAAACCAAGTGATAGAGATTCCCCAATGAGACAAATTTCAGTTCCAAGCTTCCAACATAGATTTTTCTGTTATGTATTATTATTATTTTTTTAATAGTCCAATGATTAGCCTAGTCCAGCTGCTCAACACCACAATGATTCAACTCAACTGAACACAAACATTAGTCTACTGCACAAACGTCCTACTTACTGCTGAAACTCAACACCAACAGATTAGTTTAGATCAGTTTGTCTTATTTCATGAACATTAACTTCAATAACGTAACACTTCATTTAGACACATAGCCAAACACAAGTCAGCGTCTGTTTCCTGAGATCCGTCAGCTCTGTTATTGCAGACCACACGTGGGTTTGTGCAGAAGTGGGAGTGATACTGTGTCTATTGGTTTTTTGTTTTTGTTAGATAAACATGTGATTCTGGCATTTAAACAAAGGATGTTTGTATTATGCAACATTTTGACACTGATAGTTTTACTTATCGGCTCTATATATTGGTTGTTTGCTTTCTTGACTGCTAATAATCTGTTTGGTTCTGTCCCTGAAAAAACCCATATAACCATTTTAACAGTTGTGCATTGTCTCATGTACAGCCAAAAAATGATAAAATATGAGGTTTTAATTGCCTGAATCGAGTGTTTTTTATCTTAATCGGAGTACATTCTGACTGTGTCTAAAAACAAGGTTTGCCAATGGAACCCTCATTCAAGGGAGAATTTTTCCTTGACCCATTGGCAAATCTATTGTTTTAAGGCACTCAAGACTTTCAGTGTAACATAAAGGAGAGTCAAGGCGTAAAACATTAGCCATGATGCACTAAAACTGGTATTGATTAGATGCAAATACATTCTTCACAATGACCAAGTTGCATCTATACCCAAATATTTAGTTAAAGTAGCAGTAGTAGATGTTAGATTTTCATGTTAAGTCATCCTATTATGTCAAATGGCATTATTTAACCATACTTTTTTCAATTACTTCTTAATCCGAACTAATAACAGAAGTTCAGTCGAGATATTTGAATTTCAAAATCAGTTTTACAGCCCCTAAATCTTGTAATTGTTTTGATTTCGACGTCCCGCCCTCCACTGCTTTACCAATCAGAAAGTTTGTGATCTGGGTTACCAGAACTCACCGCGTCAAGCTAATCTCATCGGTAACATGAAACATGTCAGTACTAAAAAGGTCTCGTTATAATCTATAACAAAACAAGGAATACAATACAATTTCTATCGGGCTCTTTGTGAAAAATTTGGTTATAGATTTTTTGTTGACAAAACTCTATTCAGATTTTATGTTCCCAGCTGGATTCTTCTGCATATCTGGCAACCTGAGTCAGAGAGAGAGGTAGAGGGAGAGGTTGCAGTACCACTTGTGGCCAGATTTTTACATACTGCTCCTTTAAAAACACAACCATAATATAATGAAAACTATTGGCTATTGTGGCCCCAGCTTTATGTGAAGACCTGATCCTGCCACAGTGCGACACCCACGGCTATCAAGCACTAAACTGTCACTATGTCCTTGGGCAAGACGCTTCCCAACATTGTTTAGTATGAGTCTGCTGTGTGTGTGTTTGTGTGTGTGTGTGTGTGTGTGTGTGTGTGTGTTTGTGTCATTAGTGGTGATCAACCCTTAAGATTGGGCCTTCTCACCAATATTTTTATCAGAATAATTTGCTGCAATTACCAATAAAGAACAGATGGAACACAACCATTTATCGGTTGATTGTTTTAATTAAAACATTAATTAATTAATTAAAACAAATTGTCAGACACATAAATACAAACTACAAAAAAATAGAAACTACAGAGTAACACAAACATCTTCAGAAGAGCGTCTCCATTATATTGCAATTGTAGGCAATGTATTTTATCTTCTATAATGTGGACAAGTGTTAATAAGCCATGCATCTGGTTTGTCCAATGTTATTGTTATGTCCATATAAGATAAAATAATAGCTTCATGTATATAGGAGGATTTTCCCAAATTTTTAGGAAAGAACCGCCCTCTCCACTTTTTGAATATTAATCTTATTGGACGAGCATGTATCACCAGAATGATTGACAATTAGGAGGACCAATAGTCTTGATGATCCACCCGGAAGAAGATAAAACCTTCTGTATACCTTTAACTTATCTGTTTTTAGACTGAACAGTGCCATGTGATGAGCCGTAGTAATAAAAATAACAAAATAAAAATGTGTAAATATATCCATGTTTTTCTCATCTTTTCTTATATTATCAATAGTTAAGATTACTTTTTTTTAAATCATCAATCAATCAGTAAAAATAAAAAAAGTATAAACAGTAATACAAAGTTTGCAAAGGTGTTGGACACAGCAGCGGCTTGTAACAACAATACAAAATACGAGAATTTATATGCCATTTATTTGCCATTTGCAGTAAACCCACATTGGAAAAACTGTGCGAGACTACCCCAGTATGCCCTAACACTGCAGTAAAGTCCTTGTGCTCGGGCTTCTCTGGTATTTCATAAGTATCTCGAGAGAAGCTTCCATGCAAACTCTGCAGCCTGTTTTGCATCACGAACGTCACTGCTGTTTTCCATATTGACATTGCCTCATCGCTGCTTGGTGCCTGCAGACATAAGCCGTGCAGACACAAGCCGTGCAGAGGACCGGAGAGCCATCATGGAGGACGGGAAGCCAGTCTGGGCGCCGCACCCCACCCATGGGTTCCAACTGGGCCTGATCGTGGACATCGGAGCGGACGCGCTGACCATCGAGCCGCTCAATCAACGGGGAAAGGTCTGCAATACTTTTACTTTTACTTACTTTGTAGCACTGTAAAAGAGAAAAAGAAAAGATAAATGTGAGGTAATAATATTTTTACGCATTATGGCTGTGTTAAAACAAGATTTGCAGAAGGGACAAGCCATTTAGTCTAATTTCAAGAACTAATTTGGATGGAGTCATTTCTTGTATTTCTTGTCCCATTTGCAAATCTAGTTTTAAGGCAGTCAGAATGTTCTCATGTAGATACATTTTGCTAATTTTGAACAATTTTAGACAATTTTTTTTTTTATCATTTTTTGCAGTGAGAGGGAATAAGCCGCTATGGGAAGTTTGCTATCACTGGATTATTAACATTAGCAGGACTCCTTGTATTCAGATGATACCAGAGCTGACAAGCAGTCATTTAGACAACTCCCTTTCAAATGTACAAATGGATGTGGAATCAAATCAAAAATCCAAACTCTTGATCAAAAAAACAATAATTTCTTTAAAAGTCAAAATCCCCCAGCCTGATTCACTGACAATATTCAGACAATAAAGAGACAATCCATTCAAATTGTGCAAAAACATGCTTCAAAACGTCTTGGATGAGAGTCAAAATTTGAAGCTAAACAAAAAAGTGAATGGGGATTTCTACAACACTTGAGGTTAACCATCAATTCAATTTAATTCAATTTAATTCAAAATAACTTAATTCATCCGTGAGGAACTTCATTTACAGACGGAGCAGCAGTGGAGGTACACAGACGGTCCCCACTCATGACGCTCCTCCGCCACTCGCCACACAGCGCCCATTTTATCTCTGGATTATAGCACTTGGAGTATTCCCAGAATTCAGATACTACTAAAACTTCATGTTGACGGCTCCCATTCAAATGTACTCATGAAAAAACCAAACATAGTTAGATCCCTCAGCTTTAATTTCAGCTGCATTTGAATACCGGTTGTTCAGTTTCTCTTACTGGATGGAGATAGATTTGGTGTCTCAGAATTAAAAAAAGAATTAAATAAAAAATACCCAGCCTTATTTCACTGACCATTTTTAGACAATAAGGAGACAATCCATTCAAATTGTGCTAAAACATGCATGCTTTAATCCAAACGTCTTGGATGTGAGTCAAAAATGTAATGTGTATTTCTTATCCATGATCTACCACTTCTATAACGATACACGCTATATTCAAATGATTGATCCTTTAATATTCAAGAAGAATTGCTATTAATAAAATTGTATCAATCTATTGAAAATTTGATGATCTGTGAGGAGGGGACACTGTGGAAGGACCCCTGGCATATGTCGGCCGGGTCCAGCTGAGGCTGAGACTGAGGCCAAGGCTGAGGCTGAGGTGTTGTGTTGCTGGGACACGTGCAGAGCCGGTCAGTGGGGCAGACAGCAGCCGCTCACTGAAGACACTCCTCAGGCAGATCCAGTGTCTGGTTGACGAGTCATATCCCGGTTATAGCGCCGTTCTTGTTTTGAGGTGAACATGCGCTCAGAGAAACTGCGAAACTCACCTCCCTGACATGGACTGTCATGGACTGACATGGACTGTCATGGACTGACATGGACTGACATGGACTGACATGGACTGACATGGAAGTTGTTTATGCGGTCAGACAAAGGTGTGAAATTAAAGATTTCTAGCACTTTTATGTCAAGAATGTATCTTAAATGTTTCGGGAAAGTCTCAGGTCTTGTTCACAAGTGATGGATCAGAGCAGCGTCTGCATTCAGAGCTATATCTGACTGTTTTGTTAAGAGGGAGCAGCGTCTGCATTCATAGCTATATCTGACTGTTTTGTAAAGAGGGAGCAGCGTCTGCATTCAGAGCTATATCTGACTGTTGGGTTAAGAGGGAGCAGCGTCTGCATTCAGAGCTGTGTCTGACTGTTGTGTTAAGAGGGAGCAGCGTCTGCATTCAGAGCTATATCTGACTGTTGGGTTAAGAGGGAGCAGCGTCTGCATTCAGAGCTATATCTGACTGTTGGGTTAAGAGGGAGCAGCGTCTGCATTCAGAGCTGTGTCTGACTGTTGTGTTAAGAGGGAGCAGCGTCTGCATTCAGAGCTGTGTCTGACTGTTGTGTTAAGAGGGAGCAGCGTCTGCATTCAGAGCTGTGTCTGACTGTTGTGTTAAGAGGGAGCAGCGTCTGCATTCAGAGCTGTGTCTGACTGTTGTGTTAAGATGGAGCTGAGTTGAAGTTAAATATCAGTATCAGTTGTTGATGCACTTGCATCGTGCCGGACAGAGCCTGGTTCCAGATTTCAGGACAGTTTGGTCTGAGGCGTGTCTGCTCCATGAACAGGCTGATGTGTGAAACAGGAGCCTCTCTGTGCACTGAGCCATGAATAAGTAACAGAAGCTGCAGCCGGAGATACTGTTGCCCCGAGCACAAGGCTGATTATGGGCCTGAAGGCCACCTGCCACACCTGCCACACCTGCCCCATCTGCCCCATCTGCCCCACCTGCCCCACCTGCCCCACCTGCCCCATCTAAGACGGCCTGTGTACTGGAGGTTCACCTGAGCTCACCAACAACTTGCGACATAACAGTTTTATCACTTCTCAGTTACAGTCTATCTGTAAATAATACTATAATCAAAACACGTTGATTGTGACGACATGGAGAGTCATGGTGCTGAAATGTAGCTTATAAATACTGCCACATTTGAAATGACTAATATATTATAATGATATATAACAATATCAATATAAACGGAAAAAGTGTAGAGTGTAGTGTACTTAGAAGGTACTTTAAGTGTAAAGTTCTGCTTTATGTCTTACCTGACTTTGGAAAAAAAACTAAAAGTTCTTAACTGACGCTGGATCAATATTTTCTATAATGATAATGATTATAATAATAATAATGAAAAATAATAACAACTTTAGTGATTCTTTTGTCTTCACACAAAGAATGTGTAGTGGCGATGCTCGACTGTCAACACACACACATTATATAATTTTCATACATTCAGTGTGAAATTTGCTCATGTTTCACTCAAGTTTTGATGTATTGAATTACAACGCATCACAGATTTGCAAAAGCAGAAGTTTCTGTTTTAAAAAATGGTCAAAAAGTGTTTTTTCTCGAGCTCCATCTCTCTAAAGCTGTCTTTAGCACATTTTGTTACTGGCTGTACATTTGGAAGGATTTTCTCAAGACAAGGTGAAACTTTATTTGTATGGCACTGAAAAATATCTGACTGTTCAAAAACTTCTTGGCAAAGAACAAATTGTTGCCTTTCAAACATCATTCTATTGCCACTTATCTGATTTTGGAAATGAACTCTTCCAATATTGACAAAGGTCCAGTTTGGGTTTGTTCATGTCCCTCTCTGTTTCACTTATTCCTTTTGAACAAAACTATGAACCTGTGTCTGTGTCTGGAAATGCAATCATCTGGGTTGATACAGTTTATTGATTTAAACACACATCTCCAGAGAGCGTTCCCGTGGAAACAGCGTCATGCTCCGGTGCTTTTCTCTCGGGAACATGAACTGAAGCCAGTGAAAGGCTTCGGTGGCACCAGCCGCTCATTAGCAGCTCCGCCACAAACAGTACAACATGTTTTTGTGTTTTTCCTGCAGCGCTCAGAGCCAGACCGCTCTGATGCGAGTGTCTGTGCTTTCGTAGTGATTTTATTATTCACGGGCGGCACGGTGGCTGAGTGGATAGCACTCTCGCCTCTCAGCAAGAAGGTCCTGGGTTCGAATCCCGGTCGGACCAGGGCCTTTCTGAGTGGAGTTTGCATGTTCTCCCCGTGTCTGCGTAGGTTTCCTCCGGGTACTCCGGTTTCCCCTACCACTAAAAATATGTCTAATAGTTCTAGCATGCGCCTCCTGTACTGGCGACCCCGCTCCCATCTCTGTGTGGAGTGAGAGACAAATGCCCAAAATTAACAATTGTAAACCGCTTTGAGACTCAGATCTGCAGTGAAAAGGCGGTATATAAATAAAAACTTACTATTACTTACTTACTATTATTACGTGTATTAGATGTTTAGATCCGGTTGCAACAAATTATTCATACGTTTCTTGGTTCTGTTGTGGCAGCGTTGTTCCACAGACTTGAATTCCACTCAGACTGAAACTTTAAGAAAGACAAACAATTAGTCAAACAATTAGTCAGTCTGATTCTATAGGAATGAATAATTAACTAATTCATTATCAGGATTATATGGAATGTAAAAAGTTCATCATGTCTTTGTATGTCTTGATAGCAGAACTTTCTAAGGCGTAGGTCTGTTTATAATGAGGCATATTTAGGTGCATACAAAGTTCATGCCTCGGAATGAACATTTTCACCCATTTAACCCTTTGGGGAGAAAGAGTATGGACTAAAAATGTACAATGATTATTTCCTTTTATTTGAATCTAGACGTTCCTTGCCCCTTTGAGCCAAGTCTATCCGGCAGAGGAGGACGTCAACAAACATGTGGACGACAACTGTAAGTTCACCCTTGATTTAACACCAGGATATTGAACAAATAAATTAATACTTTATTTTGAGCCATGGCAAACAAGAACACAGAACAACAACAGAACAACAACAGACGAGATAAAGACACACAATACATGATAATATACAAATATACAGGATCCATCCATCTTCTTCCCCTTAATCCATTTCTGGGTCGGGGGGTGGCAGTCAGAGCTGCACCCAGTACACAGAGCACCAGCCCCTCACTGATCCTCCTGCAGGTGGTGAATCCACAGGAGCTGAGATCTTCCAGCGGGGGCTTCAAGCAAAGTGGGGTTAAGTGTCTTGCCCAAGGATACAACAGCAGCAGTCATAAGTGGGAGAATATACAGGATGTTTTGTTTAATTAATAAAAAGTTGACTTCTTCCCACTCATTTTCGAGCTAAGACTTTTGAACTCCACCCCCTATTTATTATCCTCATTTAATTTAACTTTGATTTTGTGGTTTCTATTATATTTTCTTTATAAAACCTCCTTATTGCGGGTTATTTTTACAACGTACGCCCACAATAATCCAGAGACCACTTTAATTACAAATGATTTCATTGTATGTTGTGGTCTTATGTTCTGTCTGTTCCTCAGGTTCACTCATGTACCTGAATGAAGCCACACTCCTTCACAACGTTAAAGTCCGCTACAACAAAGACCACATCTATGTAAGTGATTTTTCCACACCATCCTGTCTTCTCCACATTAGAAAACCTTTTATCTTTTGCATACATGTTAGAAAGAGCCCAGTGAACCTCTCTTTCTCACTTTTACGTCTGATAAAGCAGATCTCAAGATGTGACAGAGGCTAAAAATCCATGTATTAGTAAATTATAGAGATAGAGCCAAACTCCAAAGAGAAACAGTTGCATTTTATCACAGTTAAATTTACGATATTAGAATAACGTAAATTTATCACAGTTAAATTTACGTTATTCTAATATCGTAAATTTAACTGTGATAAATTTACGATATTAGAATAACGTAAATTTATCACAGTTAAATTTACGATATTAGAACAACGTAAATTTATCACAGTTAAATTTACGTTATTCTAATATCATAAATTTAACTGTGATAAATTTACGTATTTTCTAATATCGTAAATTTATCACAGTTAAATTTACGATATTAGAATAACGATTTGTCTACCCAACATCTCATGGTACAAAATAAAGCAGATAGACTAAGTGGTCACAACATTATTTGATGATGGGGTGTTTTAATACGCTAGTGAATCCAGACAGCAAAGGTGTGTCCCACTCCTACTAACACTCAAAAGTCAAAATGTCTTCTGACAAATCTTCTCACATACAAAAGCCCTGTGTATTTCTTGACACTTCCTCATGTCTCTCTCTCTGCTGTTCACATAAACATACGAGAAGCAGGAATGGAGATCTGCAGCTGAGCTAACAGAATAAAATACATACATTGGCTTCAGATTTCACACAAATTGAAAAAAGTAGAGGCTTACAGACCATGAATTTCTATACGTGTGATTAGTTATTGTCGTAAAGCTGTAGGGAAAGTCAAAACTAAACTGATAAATGCAATTAATTATGAAATTCTTACACGGACCATTGAAGCAAAAACACAGAAATAACACTTAAAACTGAAAGTACATTTGAAGAACATTTATGAAGGAAAAAGCAGCAGATGTAAAGGCTGGGAATACTCATACTGTGTGTTTTGTACCACAATTTCTTGCAGACTTTCGTTGCAAATATCTTGATAGCCGTGAACCCGTATTATAACATCCCCAGTCTGTACGGCCCAGAAGCCATCAAGTCGTACAAGGGCAAGTCTCTGGGAACGCTGCCCCCCCACGTGTATGCCATAGGTGAGCCCCCTCTGATCCCACATAGAGTATGGAGCCTGCAGAGTTTAATAATGTTAATAATGTTTTGGGGCTTTTAGCTGATAAAGCATACAGAGACATGAAGGTTCTGAAGATGAGCCAGTCCATTATCGTGTCTGGAGAGTCCGGAGCAGGAAAGACAGAAAACACCAAGTTTGTCCTCCGGTAAATGGCATAAGAAGTGAAGGACTGATGGGAAATGATGGGCTTGTTTTTCATGTTGATTTGAATGTTGCAGATATCTGACGACGACTTACGGGACTGGTCAAGACATCGATGAGAGGATTGTAGAAGGTGACAACGATTCAATTACAAAACAGTCGAATTCACCAACCCAGATCAGAGAATCAAACCGTTCCCATACCCTTAAAATGCAATGCTGATGAACACATAGAGCCATCGGTCCATTTGTTCATGAAGGTTGATAATGTCCGTAAATGTAGTTGAATGTCGAGAGTCCAAACCAATGCTTGAAATGTAAATGCTATGCTATATTAACTATAACCATTTGATTCTGCACAGCAAATCCCCTTCTGGAGGCTTTCGGGAATGCCAAGACTGTTCGCAACAACAACAGCAGTCGGTTTGGAAAGTTTGTAGAGATACACTTCAATGAGAAGGTATGACATAATTTTCACATTCTAAAACACTACATTCCTGCATACACCATCTTAAGTTAATGCTTCAGGGTCAAAACAAAATGAAGCTGAAGCGGATATTCAGACTGAAAGACCAAGTGCAAATTCCCCCTTCCAAGCCTGCAAATCTCACAGCGCTGCCAGCCTCGAGCCTCAGCCAATCACACAGCTCTGCCAGCTCTGAGCCTCAGCCAATCACACAGCCCGGCCAGCCTCCTGCCAACCCTCTCACAGCAAAGCGGGCAGTTTAAAAGGCAGCCACTTCCTGACAAGCAATGCTTCCTGAGGCTCTTAAACACCCACCACCTCCCCAGCAACCCCTCTGGCTCCAGCTCTGGCTCTGGCTCTGGCTCTAGGCTCTTGCTCTGGCTCTAGGCTCTTGCTCTGGCTCCTGCTCCGCCTTCGCCCCATTCACACCAAACTCTAGCCACCACCAGTGCTTGACCCCGGGGGATCTGAGATCATCTTCAGCTGCAATTGATCTCATCGCTGCAAGTGTCACTGCCGGGGTCAATGCGCCAAACAAATAAATCATTTTATTGTATTCATTGTGTCTTTGGTCTCTTCAGATTGAATACAAATTATGATCAGAAAGGCACAAACTAGGAAATTACTTTGTCTCAAGGTGCAAGTTGGAAGAGTAAAACTAGGTACAGGCATGCATAAAAAAAATCTTCATAACATTTATATAAATTACTGCTATATACAAATGCACACAATAGACTTAAAGGAGCAGCAAAAAGCCAAAAGTGGTACTTCAACCTGTCCCACTCTCCTTGACTCAGGTTGCCAGATATGTAGACGAATCCAGCTGGGACCCTGATAACTGAATAGAAAAGAGTTTTGTCAAATCTATGGCCAACACCTTTTTCACAAAGGTCCTGAGAGATTAGCTTAACATGGTGAACAGTTCTGGCAACATGGATCATTTTCTGATTGGTAAAATGGTGAAGGGCGGGACATCAAAAGTATTGGAAAAGAGTATGGTTTATTAATACCTTTTGACATATTAGGGCTATTTAATGATTACTTGACATGAAAATCTTAGATACTTTAATTTGTTCTTTGTCTCTTGTGGTATTGCAGAATGCTGTTGTCGGAGGGTTTGTCTCTCACTACCTGTTGGAGAAGTCCAGGATCTGTGTTCAAAGCAACGATGAGAGGAATTATCACATCTTCTACAGACTTTGCGCCGGAGCCTCTGAGGACCTCAAGAAGAAACTGCACCTGGACTCACCGGACCACTTCAGGGTCTGTGCACAAAATCACCTTTTTACTTTGAAGTCGGATACGGAATGCAGCTGCTGAGTGATGACTAACTACAGAGTCCTGACTGAAGCTAATTGTGATCAAAAAGTCCCTGGAGGATTTTTTCAAACAGTTCAGAGATTCAAGCCGTTTCAACACAGGAAAAACAATAATAACACATAATACCACGTTCAAAGGGTAGCAGAATAACCAATGTACGTAAATGCTAATAAACGTTCATGATTGTCTAAAATTCCACGGATCATCACTGTCCTTAGAGCCTCCAGCATCACCAAGGAATCACTCAAAACTCAAAAACCCAGTGAGAGTCAGGGAGGCCCATATAGAGAGAGGGATCCGCTCCCTTGAACCAACAGGCTATAGATCAGGGGTCTCCAACCTGTAGAGCGAGACCAACCAGTAGCTCGCCACCCCCTTCCAGGTAGCTCGCCAAAGGATTTAAAAATCAAATAATACACTTAATATTCCAGATTGTATAAATCATTATCATTACTTATTCTTGCAAGCACTTACTTTGTACACCAGTAACAAATATCCAATGATAAATAATGACTGTGCCCAATACCAGGCTCTTTCACACCAATAAATCACCAAATTTTTCCAGGGTTTGCTTAAAGGAGTAGCTCTCTGTCTTTATCATCCCGGGAAAGAAGCTCTCTGGGTGAAAAAGGTTGGAGACACCTTCTATAGATCCAGGACTCAGGCCGTAGAACGAGGACTGAGAAAGCCCCAGGCAGGAAGCAGGGTGCGCCAAAGGGCTCGGGCTGAGGGAGACGAGAGATGCAGGTGAAAGAGGCCAGATTCAGGGGTGCATCATCACGCATAAAACCAGACCCCAAAACCTAGAGAATTACAAATTCTCCAAATTCCCCTAACTTTTTCCCACTCCTTTTCGAGCTGCGTAAACCTACTGTATATTTGTATATTATCACGTATTCTTTCTTTTTCTATTTTGTTGTTGTTTTGTTTTGATGTCGTTCATTGTTCTTGTTTGCCATGGCTTGGAATAAAATATGAATTCATTCCATCCCAGGAGAGTCCAAAGCAATAATGACATTTTCTTTTGTAGTATCTGAACAGAGGTTGCTCCAGCTTTTTCGCCACCAAGGATTCAGATAAACACATCCCACACCATCGTAAAAGTCTTGAGGTGAGGCCAGCAGAACTTATAGAACTTTACAGAACTTCTACTTCACTGATAATCAAATGTTTCTTAAGGATATTGTTTTTTAATTAATTATTGTTTTCAGGTAACATCTTTTTTGTGGTTAAAAAAAAATCAATTCAATCTTTATGTGACTGGTCAGAAATCTAGAAATCAAGCCATTTAAGTATTCTAGGTCACATAAGCAAACAAATAATGAAAGTAATATCCAATAATAATGATAATAATAGCCAAGTTTTTTTTTTACTTTTCTGAAGTGTATCAAAGTCATGAATATTGATTCTAGGACAAACTCTTACAAATCTCTTCATATCTAAATAATGTAAAGTCCAGTACAGATGTTTCTAATCGCATGTATCTTCTTTCCCCGTTGCCAACACAGGACTCGAAGGTAACGTGGCCTTTCTCAGAGTGTTCAGAATGTTGATTTGTTGGGTTTTGGCATGAAGTTGGTGAAAAGACTGTACATAGGAATGGACAAGTCTAACCTGCGAGCTCTAGACGTAAATGCATAATACTAACGGCTTGTGTCAAAGTTTTTGGGTTTCAAAATCTATGCTTCTATATGATACTGCCTTCTATCCTTGTATAGAGCTGCAAAGTGGGCGGAGCTTAGGTTTAAGGAAGTAAAAGTCACCGTTTAGAATCCTGTTAAAGTTATAAAAGAGTGAGAAGACACAACAGAGGTTAACTAGCTACCTGCCAACGACGATCCGGAGTGCTGCTGCTTTCAGCTTATTTCTGCGTTTTTTTATTTGCTGCAGCCGAAGCAGGAAACGTCCCCATAGACCTCAATGTTAGCTAAAACAACTCATCCTCAACTGAGAGGGAACTGACAGCTCTTTCAAAGTTCAAAATGTTTGGGTATTTTAGTCTTCCTTCCTGGTTTCCTTCAAATACATTCGTCTTCTTTAAATTCAAACAACAATCTCTTACATCATGAAACCAAACGCCAATGAGTACAAGCCATGGATCTATTATAATAACTGGATAGGGTATTATTAGCTTGTAGCTGAATAACTCATGTGCTCAGGGGATTCTCGCTGTACTGCAGACTAGACCAGACTAAATTCACGTGGGCTACCCAGAAATTTTCCCCATAGGACTCAATGCATATTAAAACAGCTCAACCTCAGCTGACAGAGAACCTACAGCTTTAATAAAGATCGGATTTTGTGGGGATTTTAGTGTCCCTTGTCATCCTGAACTTTTTTTCTTCTTAAATCCTTCGGTTTTGTTTAAATCCACACTTTAGTGCCACAAACTCTGCTCGTCTGGCTCTCGCTCTAACTCCCGCTCTGATGAACTGCTCTGATTGGTCAGAGCGCGGCCGAGCCCCTCTGTGCACGTGCGTGAGACCTGGTGTGAAACCCTCACACGCGTGTTTGGTGCAACGCATTATGGGAGATCATCCACTGACCGACGATGCCCAAATACAGGCGAGTTTCCCATAGATCTTTGCGAGTTCCAGGCGACTTCCGCTAATCTTTCAGCCCCCATGTCACTCCCGTATTCGTCCCGGAAACCGGATTCGTCCGGAAGTTCAGTTTGCGCATATGTCCTTAAGTGGTGACTGGTTAAGTTTAGGCGTCTGATTAAGATGGTTAAGTTTAGGGCTAAGGCTGGGTTGGGGTTATTTTATGGGAATGGCTGGTTAAGTTTAGGCATGAATAGGTAGTTTTTTATATTTACTGCCGCTTCCGTCCAGATTCCGTGACATAATCTACTGCTGCGTATGCTCATTGGATCAAACTGAACTTCCGGACGAATCCGGTTTCCGGGACAATACGGGAGTGACACCCATGCCGGCACAAAGCACCACTGAACACAACCATTCATTTGACTGCGCCATCTTGGATCGCCGGGGCTTGGTACAAGCCGTTGATTTGAATGGGCAGACATCTTGGAAATCATAAGCTCCGCCCACTTTGCAGCTCCATAAGGCAGATGCTACAGGTGGCATGAGAACTCGGTTTGTCCATTCCTTCCACAGTCTCTGAGCTGGTGCAAAGGGAAAAGCTTAAAGTGTGTATGACAGGTTAAATGTTTTCGGTGGGACAGATCGACTAATAAATATGGATAGTAACTTTGCAAGCCATTATCTGACGGTTTAAACATTCACTCAGCCAGATAAATGTGTCTCGTATTTCTAATTACCATGCCATTGTGTAAATGAGTCGAGCTTTGGCCAATGTTTACTTTGTGGTTGCTATGACGACTACTTCTATTGTTGTCTTCTGCTGCTTTTGTCCAACCAGGAAATGCCACTATGAACTTCACAAAACACTAAAAACAAAGATCAGATTCAGTCTTTTTTGCCATTTGCAGTAAAAACAAGTGAGAAAGTTCAAGAAACACCTGTCACTGTGAGACCAATCAACAAAAACAAGCTTGTGGAATAGAAGCGGATAACATAACAAATATCATAATTTGTGGTGAAAGAAAGAAAGATTCGATGCTAACATGCTTTCCTTACAACCTGATTAGTGTTTTGGTCCCATTTCAAATCATTTCATACTAGAATTAAATCCAAAAACTTGCAATCACAGAGGGGAAAGTCATGTCCTGAAGTTAAAATTGTTGAAACTGTCATACAGGCTTTAAGTTTAAGTCTTACGGGATTTCTGAAATGTATTTGTGGAGTAGACACATTTTTGAGTATTCTTGTGTTTGCTTTTTGCATGTTGGTGGTGGCTTAGTCAGATAACGGTTTGTAGTTGGAGATTTTTTCAGTGAATTCTGACTTTGCAGCATCTGAAGAGCGGAGCCTTGAAGGACCCGTTGCTGGACGACCTGGGAGACTTCAGCAGGATGTGCGAAGCCATGAAGAGGATCGGCCTGAACGACAACGAGAAGCTGGACCTGTTTCGTGTGGTCGCCGGGGTTTTGCATTTGGGCAATATTGACTTTGAGGAAACAGGGAGCAGCTCTGGTAAGAATTTTCCAAGAATCAACAATAACACTTAAGGAATAGATATTATGCATGATTTTTGGCCATCAAAAATATTATTAGAAACTCCAGCTTGCCGGTTCATCTCTCAAATTAAGGCATCTGATTGGTCACTCCTTATATGGGTCTTCTCTGGGTTTTGGATTTTTGTTAAGCCAAAAATGGTAAGCGTGACACAAACAGTTACTGAGCTAGAGGAGTTCACTTTTCAATGTCAATAAGAGCCAGAGCGAATTGGAGCCAAACTTTGCTCATGAGCACTTCCCTATTCATCTTCATTCAGTTAGAGGGTTAGCACTGTCCATCCATATACAGCCGGTGAATGAGCCACAGGTGTCGTATGTACATTATCTCTATAAAACATTATTCTGTAATGTTATTTACAAAAAATTGAAATATATTCCGAAATTTTAGATTTAAGGAAGCGAATGAAAGGCATAAAAGTGTGTCGTTGGTGGAAAAACAAACTCAGATTTTGTGACATTATCTACTGAAATGTATCTCCTTTTCATGTGACACCAGTATTTACATATTTTTTATTATATGCACAATATCATGTTTGAATTATTAAATGTACAAAGAAAGAAAAAGGATTTCTATTGAGATATTGGCGAGAATACAATAGAGTGGCTGTGTGTTTGTGAAGGTGGCTGTGTTCTGAAGAACCAGTCCAGTGAGTCTCTCCAGTCCTGCGCTGAGCTGCTGGGTCTGGACCAGGACGATCTGAGGGTCAGTCTCACCACCAGGATCATGCTCACAACAACAGGGGGCGCCAAAGGGACAGTCATCAAGTAAGTGCAACTCATACATAAACAGTGGGGTATAACTGTCTAACTTCGTGAACACATACAGACTTCATGTTGTATGAAGTCTCTGGAAGGTTTCTGGACACAGACGCTGCAGCTGCATTCTTGGAGAACTTCACACAAAAAGCCGCTAGCTTAACTTCGTTCGCATCAAAGCCCACCCACCACTCCCGGCCTGTGTGTGCCCGGAACGCCCCTTCATGCTATTCTCTCTCCTGATTGGATAAAAACTGAAGGATACAAGAAAAGTTTTGTCCGTGACTGAGAGATCGGTGTTTTGGTCCATTGGATTGCTGTTGGAAGATATGACTATTTAAGACATATATTAACACAAAAAATCCCTTACTTGTGCTTGAAGTTATTATGTTATTATTATGTTTAGGTTTGGGGCGATGGTTCATCTCAACAGAAAATCTATGTTACATGCCTGGTGTTTGGTTAACAGGGTTTAATGGAAAAGTGGAAGAGGCTGGCTTCAGTTGTAAAAGGCGTGGAGCTTGACTGTTGATGAATATTTGATCAGGGACAGATGCTGCTCTGGCCTGGAAGTGTTTGCTCCATATAAATAATAGAGGCTGTATCTGAAAAGGTAATGATTAAGATCTGTCTGTGTGGCTTGGGGCCACAACCAAGGATTCAAGTGATGAATGAGCAGTTCATAATGTTTAAATGAGTTTCACTTCATTCTTATTAATGGGCCCAGAGCTCACTTTGTTTGACAAGTGGATGTCAAAGTTAAAATAGGAAGGACAGAGGACATGGCAGAGGACAAAGTATGTTCATTACTGAACATGGCTTTACTGAGTCAGGACTTGTTTCCTAACATTTATTCATATAGCATGTTTCAGTGACAAAGGTCACTCAAATTACTTTACAAATGAATGGAAAAACGTAGTCCATATTTTTCTATCCACACAAGTTTATGACGGAAGCGAGACGCCGAACACACCTTTTTAGCTGTAGGGGAAACCGGAGCATCCGGAGGAAACCTACAGTATACAGACACTCTGTGAACATGCAATTTCCACACGGCCTGTAGGTAGAATGGACCTAGGACCGTCTGGCTGTGAAGCACAAGCTCTAATCGCTGTGCCACCGTACCTGGACCAACTTTGTGTAGAATTTTTAGAATTAGTTTGAGCAAGTTAATAACTTTTATCAGAAACATAAGATGAGAGAATGTTAGGAACCCTCGAATAAGTTCTACTGGGGTAAAGGCTTAAACGTGCCGTTGTAAATAATTGTTAGACATTATTTAATCTCTTAAAAAAATTTGACAGAAGAAAGAGCATGGTGAATTATTGTGACTTTTTAAGCTGAAAGCTAACGGTTATCTCTCTACTTCACTTTTCTATCCAACAGCGAGTACGGCAACCAGTGCTCCTGACAGATGCCCTAGTGGAAATGGAAGGATAGCTAAGATGCAGTATAACTAAACTAAACAAAACTGAATCTAAATTAAGTAGTTCTTTGTTTGCACATTTGGAAAAAAACAAAAAACAAATTCCCTTTGCCATTTTTCACCCTCCATACTTGGTTTCACCTTTAATATTTTATTTAAAATGTTATTCCCATTCCTATTCCAAACCTTGAAAAAATATCATTATGAATATCCAAAAATAATGAAAAATATCTTTACATGATTATAATATTATAGCAATTATATATCAATATATAAATTAATAAAAAAAAAAAACTCTATACCAGTACGTGTGAATTTAAATTGGACTTTAAGGTAGTGGTTATCCCCGTCGGACTGAAAGGGCGTGGTCTTTCTGCAGGGTCCCTCTGAAGGTGGAGCAGGCGAACCACGCCCGGGACGCTCTGGCCAAAGCCGTGTACAGCCGCCTGTTCGACCACGTGGTGCGGAGAGTGAACCGGTGCTTTCCCTTCGACACCTCCACAAACTTTATCGGAGTCCTGGACATTGCTGGTTTTGGTAAAGAGATCATTTTGCATTGCAATCTCTTTCAAAGTATTTGATTTGACAAAGTGTTTTTTACTCTTCCATATAGAGTATTTTGAGCACAACAGCTTTGAACAATTCTGCATTAATTACTGTAACGAGAAACTTCAGCAGTTTTTCAACGAGCGGATTCTCAAAGAGGTAAGATGTTGTTGAGATTCTCCACATTAATGAGATTTACAGCAAAATCTAAGATCTAATAGTTACACAGATGCAAATGACATAAATATAAAATGCTGTAATTTGCAGTAATTCACTACATTCTTGTGTCTAGAATACGCTTACGTAATTGCAGGACTATGAGCCACTACAACTTTCAACGTGTTTTATTTTATATTATTTGAATTTATTTTATTTGAATTTATTTTATTTGAATATATTTTATTTTTTATTATTTTATATTATATTATATTATATTATATTATATTATATTTTGTTATTTATTTTTAATGAGAGCATCTGTTAAAGCTAGAATAATACAAATATTGACAACGAGTACCTTGAACATGAAGCTCAAAAGAATTAGGAGTAAAGTTGAGTATAGAATCCTATACTCAGTACTTTGAACCCTGCAGTCTTTATAGCGATGCGGCCGATGTGTGTAATTTTATATCTTTAGTAGAGTGGTCAGAATTTGGACACATCTCTATCAGCTGTGGTTTATGTTTATGTGAACAGCAGAGATGCACAAAATACAAGGAACTTATCTTGTATGTGATCGGGGCTGTTGTCAGAGTCCAGTAGCTGCAGTACAGGACGCATGTTTATTGTCAAAATAGATGTCGTGTTGTTGTTTTTCAGGAGCAAGAGTTGTATCAGAGAGAAGGACTGGGAGTGAGCGAGGTGCATTATGTTGACAACCAGGATTGTATCGGTAAGAATTATTAATATCTAACAACTAGAAAGATATTTTTGTGATGTTGGTGATGACTGTTGCGGCTCTGTCCAGACCTGGTGGAGGCGAGGCTGGTGGGGGTCCTGGACATTCTGGACGAGGAGAACCGTCTTCCTCAGGCCAGTGACCAGCACTTTACTGTGGCGGTGCACAGTAAGCACAAGGACCACTTCAGGCTCACCGTAAGAACCACAGCTGCTGCCAAACTGTGCATGTACCAAACCCGGGCTGGGAGATGTGGCTGAAACACTTTAAAAAGATTTGATCAAAGTTATGTGAATGCTCCATCACACTGGGGGGAGCTCATTATGTTCTCATTTTAACCATATATATATTTACATACAGTAGGACAAGGTACTGACTAACAGATACATGGCCAGATAAACGTTCTAGATTTTCACTGACGATCATAGTTCTCCATCTGTCCATTCTGAACAACTAATACAAAAATAAAAAGTCACAACTTGAAGATGAATCAAAAAAAACAATTGTGTTGTCCCTGCTTAAAAAACAAAAATACAACAACAATTGTACGTCACTTTTCTATTCTATTCTGAGTGACACAATCAAACATACAGGTAAACTATTACATATTTAGTTTGGAAACCCATTATAGAAATGTATTTTGAAATAAATAGGCAATTAAGTAATTAAATAGGCGGCACGGTGGCTGAGTGGATAGCACTCTCGCCTCTCAGCAAGAAGGTCCTGGGTTCGAATCCCGGTCGGACCAGGGCCTTTCTGAGTGGAGTTTGCATGTTCTCCCCGTGTCTGCGTAGGTTTCCTCCGGGTACTCCGGTTTCCCCTACCACTAAAAACATGTCCAATAGTTCTAGCATGCGCCTCCTGTACTGGAGACCCTGCTCCCATCTCTGTGTGGAGTGAGAGACAAATGCCCATAATTAACAATTGTAAACCGCTTTGAGACTCAGATCTGCAGTGAAAAGGCGGTATATAAATAAAAACTTACTTACTTACTTACTTACTAAATACACATTGAATTATTTAAATGTGCAATTAAATAATTTCAAAATCTTTAAATAATTAAATAGGGTAATCATTAAATATTTACATATATTTATTCAGACAATGGATGAATGGATGAAAAAAAAACTTTATTTGAATATACAAAATATTTTGACTTGATTATATTCATTTCAAGGCTTATTAGTCTCCATATTGATTGTAATTATTATGAAAATGTGTTAAAAATATGTTATTTTAATGTCAGGTTCCAAGAAAATCAAAGTTGGCTATTCACCGAAATCTACGCGACGACGAAGGCTTCATGATCAGGCACTTTGCGGGGGCGGTCTGTTATGAAACCGTAAGACTTTTGTTTACACAAAATCATACAAATATTATGTAGACGAGACCATTAAGAGTAACATAATTCCTTGACGTGACTCTGCACAGAAACGCTTTGTGGAGAAGAACAACGACGCCCTGCACATGTCCCTGGAGAGCCTGGTGTGCGAATCCAAAGACTCCTTTGTCCGAGAACTTTTCGAGAATTTCAACAGCGGCAAAGACGTCAAGCAGAAATCTGGAAAACTCAGCTTCATCAGCGTCGGAAACAAGTTCAAGGTCTGGGAGCTGGAGGACATGAGGCTGTCTTTCCCTGCATCCAGATTCACAAAAATATAACGTCCTTTCTTATCCTTCCTCTTGTTGACATTTGTAACATAGAAATTTCCCTAAGTGCCAAGAAAATCATATAAATATCAAATCTGGAACAGTCCAGTCTCTTAAAGGGTCAAATTTGAAATAAAAGGAAGGATAAGGAAAGAAGTATTTCTGTTGAATTTGGATGCAGCCTTTGTTCTTTACTTTCCCAGCTGTGTTTCGCTTCCTCTCCCAAGTTTTCCTGTAGACTTCCTTCAATCTTCTTCCTTTTCCTGCTTGAGCTCCTTTGGATAAACCAGCTGCAAGACACGTCCAGGTACAAACAAAGACGACGTTTCAGCGCTAGACCTTTCTGCTACTGTGAAAGACACAATATTACAACACATATTACGAATGTTCATTAAGCAGTATCATTTTGGAATTCATTGAAAAAAAAATCAATCAAATAATGACTGTATGGATCTAACCTAAACTCCAAAACATCTGTTATGATGAATTTCTAAACGCTCCAATATGGTCAAGAAAAAAAAAAAAGCTTTTTGTCCTTTATCACTCCTAATTTTAACACAAATACGACGCACTTTTTAACACTATACAACACTATTTCTATTTGCATTTTTATTAAATGTTTTGAAAACAATTTGTGTATAAAGTAAAAATATCAGAATCATAAAAAAAAAGATGTATATGAATTTACAAAAGAAAGAATGCAACAAATATCTGGAACAAAAAAAATCAATATTGTGCCAAACATTATTGATATTTATCCAAGGAAGGTAATTTTATTTTTTGCACAACCCTTACCAGAATTGATTATACAATTTCTCGTGGAAGTGAACAAGGTTTTTTTTACTATGTTATTTTTTTTTTTTTGGCCAATATTGTGAAATGTCCAAAATGTGAAATATGTGCGGTTGTAATAATTATATATAACAAAAGCCTTTTTGATGTCTTCTTTGATCCACAACATATGGATCGAGACAAAATGTGACTCAGTGCCTTCAACACTTTATAATAATGTTATGTCTATTCTTTCAGACTCAGCTGAACCTGTTACTGGAAAAGCTCCGGAGCACAGTAAGTCTTTTTTTTCTCTGCAAAAAGCTGTAATTGTTTTGAAAAGAGGAAAACGATTGTATAAGTAATATCTGTCTAAAGGGCTCCAGTTTCATCCGTTGTGTGAAGCCCAATCTAAAGATGGTGAGCCACCAGTTTGAAGGAGCGCTGATCCTGTCCCAGCTGCAGTGCTCTGGTAGGTTCAGGAGTCGACTCCAAAGTTCACTCCCAGATACAACAAAGAAGAGTTTTTAAAGGTTTAAGTCCGCAGTTTTCATTCATGCAGCAACCCTCCTCCTCCCCATCTCCGCCTCGTCAGCCAGTCCAGCTCTTCTCCCTTCTCTAGTTACCACCACCAGGGTCTAGGCCCAAGAGGATTTCATATCATAATCGCTATCTGCATTTCCCCTTGTGCAATCATCTAAGCGCCAAACTTTAACCACAGTTCTTGTACAGCAACAATAAATATGCTAATATTATCTTCAGAGTCGCATGTACTACTGCAGTGTCAGTTAATTTACAACCAATATACAATTAACCTGATGATGTATGGCAGAGGTAAAATAAGGGGAAATGACAAATAATGTTTACACCATGGTTCCGAATGATTACTGTGCTGTTTGTGCAAATGAAACTGTTAGACTATTAGATCCATAATTAAACTAACATTTTCTGTCTGTCCAATCATTGTCTGTTGTCTCTACCCGTTATGTGATCGGTCCCAAATCCATGCAAACATTTTGGCTCGAGTTTCCAGGCTGAGGATTCCCAGGATAGAGGACTGCTGTACTTTAGAAACTGATTATTTCTTTTATTATTGAAATCGAGACTTATCCATTAGACCATAATCAGTGTGGTGTGTTGATTTTTGTTTTTTCCTGAATTGACGTGGTAGCCCTCTTGCTACAATGCTAACCAGGCTTGACCACATGTATAACACTGACTGTTTGTTTCTTTTAGGAATGGTGTCGGTGCTGGATCTGATGCAGGGTGGTTTTCCATCTCGCGCCCCTTTCCATGAGCTCTACACCATGTACAAACAGTATCTGCCTGAAAAGCTGCAAAGACTCAACCCACGGCTCTTCTGCAAGGTCTGGATCTACTATTTTCTTTTTGTGTGTGTCCGCATGCTCGGCCCAGTCTTATTAGTCTGATTAACATGCTTGGATGTTTGTGTCAAGGCCTTGTTTAAAGCTCTGGGATTGAATGATGCCGATTTCAAGTTCGGTCTGACCAGAGTCTTCTTCCGCCCAGGAAAGGTCATTTGCTTTTTCTGATAACTTGAGCATAATATTCCCGTATAGCTTCTGGTGTCTTTATTATGAACTGAACATCGTGTTGCCATCAGTTTGCAGAGTTTGACCAGATCATGAAGTCCGACCCGGAGCATCTGGCCGAGCTGGTGAAGAAAGTCAATAAGTGGCTCCTGTGCAGCCGCTGGAAGAAGGTCCAGTGGTGCAGTCTGTCTGTTATCAAACGTGAGTCAAACTTACAACAGTGTTTCATCCACAAGTACATTGTTCACTCAAGGTTCAAAAGGTATACAGGAGGATTTTCCCAAATTTTAGGAACAAACCGCTTAATTGTCAGAATGATTGACAATTGGGAGGACCAATAGTCTTGATGATCCACCCGGGGGTAGAAAATCCTCCCATATACAGTACCTTTAAGACCACATAAGTTCGTGTGAGCTCTCAGTCGTACAGGGATTATTTAAAACAAAGGAAGGTTGCTCACCCGTCATCTGTATTTCAGTCAGCAGGTTTTCCCGACGTTTCGTTCTTCATCCAACAAACTTTGAACAAAGGGGATACTTTTCCTCAAAGGAGACAGTTTTCCCTTCAAAAAATTCTTTGGATGAAGAACAAAAAGTCGAGAAAACCTGCCACATGTGTTACTGTCACTTTACTTTACTTATCTGTGCATTAATAACTTTAATAATGTCAGAATATACTCTTGCTAGTGGCTTAGACGCGGGTCAGCTGAAGAAGGTAATTTCAACATGAAATGAAAAACACAACAGCGGTTTGAAAAAGCATAATAAAACTTTGTTCAGGACAATCAGAGCAGGGTTTGTTGATTCAACTTGAACTGAACTGAACTGTACGTGAATTAGAATTATTCCCACTTGTACTGAAACGCATCTTTTTAAAACCCTCCCCAGCAGGGAAACAAGGTCGTGGTAACATGTGATGGAGTTATTGGTCCATGTCATGGTTATTAAGCCCATACTGTACCAACTGTAAAGCACGTTGTCTGTGAAGGCACTGTATAAATAAAGATGGATTACATATTTACTTACTTAAGGCGCGCTTAGAGGGGAGTTGGATGAGCTGCTTTCACGTCACCTGATTTATTTTCCTTCTTTCATCAACAGTTCGCAACAAAATGAGCTACAGAGCCATAGCCTGCATCAAAATCCAGAAGAGCGTTCGCATGTGGCTGTGCAGGAGGAAACACAAACCACGGTGAGTTTGTTTCTTTGAACTTGTAAACATTAAAGAAACATAATGTTTAGAACAGACATGTCAACCTCAGGCTCGTGGGCCAAATCCAGCCCACAAGACATTTTTAGTGGCCCCCAATATTATATTCTATTAATATTATTAACTTAGCAGCATTGATTATGGACAACCAAGACATTTTATCATCGATTGTCTCAGGAAAACACCAAATGTATTCCAGTCCAGTCCAGTTTTGGCTAAATCTAAACAATAATGCCAAATACCATAATAATGTAAGGAAATACCCTCTATTGTCCCGGTCCCCGATCGGGTCCCATTTTTTAAATTCAACCCCAAAGGAGTTTGACACCCCTGGCTCAGACTGTGTCTTCTGCAGTGTGGACGGGATGGTACAGGTGCGCAATCTGAAGAAACACATGGAGCATCTGACCAAAGTGGTGGACGGGCTGAAGGAGGGCAAAGAAGAGGTGGCCAAGAAAGTACACGAACTTGCAACTGCCATAGACCAGCTGATGGCCAAGATCAAGGTGAGAGGGAGACGTGGGCAGCATTGACCTTTCCATAAACAGTTTTTGTAGATTAGGGCAAATATGGCATGTAATTTTAAAGCTACCAACACAATATTTGTATTAATATTGACATTGGAAGCTGAACACAATAAGTAACAATTCAAAGTAAACATTGTTCAGCACAGCAATCTGCAATTCAGAGACTTCAGGAGTGAGTCCAAATGTTCAGAAAACGAAAAAAAAAACCCACTTTTACCAACACTGTATTTCTCAGACTGCAGGCAGATGGATGTGTGGTGTAATTGTTATGATAGTAATAGAGTAAGTGTTGCCATGACGTCGTAGGCCACAGTGATGAGCTGGAAGGAGATCGACGCCGAGTACCAGGCCTTGGTGCGGCGCTCGGAGCAGCTGCTGGGCTCCATGCAGAAGAAGAAGCAGGAACAGGAGGAGAGTGAACGGCTGAAGCACATCGAGGACGAGATGGAGAAGGAGAGGAAGAGCAGAGAGAAGGACGAGCAGCGCCGCCTACAGGAGGAAGAGGAGCGCAGACTGTAAGAGCTGGTTTTACAAATGAACATGAAATAGACATCATACAACAGGCAGATTTCAGAACAAAGTGTAGTGTGTGGCTGCACCTGTATGTTAACTATTTTTATCACCTTTTGTGAAAATCAAGAACTCACAAACTAGAAAATTGCTTTGGTTCTCGGTGCAAACAAGTTAAAAAGTAAGAATAGAATAAGGCATGCATGAGAATAAAAAAATGCAACCTTTCTTAAAATTACAGCTTTAAACTAAGCAAATTTAAATTCTTGAATTTGAGGTAAAAGTAAATATTGTCTACATACAACTTCTACTTTTTTAATATCATCTGCAAGTTTTCATGTTGTAATGGAACCATGTCGTAATGGAACAGATCATGGAGCAAAACAAAGCTGATAGACAATAGTAATATTTAGTTTTTTGCCACTTCTGCTAACAAGACCTCTGTCAATAATTACCCATAATTTATGAAAACACACTTTTTCTCAATTGACAGTTAGCGCCAGAGTTCATGTTTTTATTGTTTTTGTTACTTGCTTTCTCACTTCTTTTCTATTAGAATTTTGTTTGACAATCCCAAGGCAACCACCACAACCTCCACAGTAACCATGCTACTACTACTACTACTAATAATAATATTAATAATAATAACACATCAAACTTGTATAGCTCTTTTTGGACAGTCAAAGACACTTTTCTCCTTGCATTGAATCGCTCCATACACAAATACAATGTTGTTTGTTATATGCTTAGGGTTGATAATTGACCACGAACAATGTCCTTATCAATATTCTTTAGCAAAGCAGAGATGGAGCTGAAGAGAAAGCAAGAAGAGGAAGATCGAAAGAAACGAGAGAAGGAGGACCATGTCATGCAGGTGTGTGAGGCGTCCCTTTGGCTCTTTATGGCTATTTAGGGCAAGGCAAGTTTATTTGTTCACTTCATACACAAGGCAAGAACACAAGCCATCGTAGATAAACACAGTACATTAAAATATGTGAGAATATAATCCTTCAGTTGTATGAATTTGTGTACAGCTAATAATTCAAGTTTTATCGCAGTGTCTTCATTGTTAAAGGACACACGTTGTTATTGTCAAGCAAAATCCATATTTTAACTTATATCTATGTCTTAACACTGTTCCCTCATCAAAAAAAACATACCTGGAGTTATTTTAGTTCGATCTGCAAAAATAGATGCACTTTTTCTTTACCATTTTGATGTCATATTGAGAACCGGCCAAAGAATTTCTAAGTTTAACTAAAGGAAACTGAAACTGTTTTTTTAAATCTTCACAAAACTTTTTGTAAATTTTGCAAAAGGGCTTGCGCTAAAAAGTGTGGAACAGGGACTCAAAGGGCTCGCAAACATGGTTAAGACATGTTTTATATCAGAGAAGGCCTCTTTATCTGTATAGACAGCACATTTCACACACAAGGCAACTCAAAGTGTGTGTCAAAACAAGAAGGGACACATTCAAATCAAACACAGATTAGAAAAAAAAGTAATCACATATTATTTATCAAGGGAAAACTTATGTCCCGGAGCTTTAAATGTGAGTATTGCTGGTTACGTTGGTTGTATTTGATTGTGTGTGTGTGTGTGTGTGTGTGTGTGTGTGTGTGTGGACAGGCGGAGATGGAGGTACAGTTGGCTCAGGAGCGGGAGGAGCAGGTCCAGCAGGCGACCATCTTGGAGCAGGAGAGGAGAGACCGTGAGTTGGCCATGAGAATCGCCCAGAGCGAAGCCGAGCTCATCACCGAAGAGGGCCAGCTGGACGCGAGTCTCCGCAGGTCTGTACTGTCGCTCTCAATGTGATATATTTACTCAAAGACATGACCATCACTCGTCTTCCTCTTCCTGATCCGCTCCATGTGCTGCTCTTTCCTTCATAAAGTTGTCATTTGAATATGTTTAAAAATGTGTACATTGTTACACATCAGGCCTATTCAATTTCAAATCAAAGTATTTACCCATAAAAGCCACATACATAATTCCGATTGCAACAAATATACACTTTTTCTACTTTATATACGCTTACTAAAAACTGAACTTTTTGTGAGCGACTAACATGTTTGCACTTCCCTCTCTCACCACAGGGGGGCTCAGGTGCAGGCGACCAAAGCTGCTGCTGGAGTGAAAAAGCACGACCTGAGCAAGTGGAAGTACGCCGAGCTCCGGGACGTTATCAATACTTCATGTGGTGAGCCAGAGCTTGGGCTAAGCCTTAAAGCTGGGGTACCTAACTTTGAAACCACAGAAATGGAAATATGTAATACAAATTCATATAAATACTTTAACAGGTTTAACTGTTTCTATTTCTAGTTTTCACATGCATGTATCTTAGGCCTTTGTCAAATCATCACATCATCGCTCAATCAGCCAATCAGCTCTCATCCCAAAGAGTCCAATAGTGACTCACCGGGCTCTTTCTGCAAAAGATATCATGATTTCTAATAAGATGAAGACAGCATGTTGTGGTACGATTTGATTTGTTCGCAACGGTTTATCAATCAATTTATATAGGAGTTCATACAGAATGCAACCCAAAGTGCTTCACTTTGGGAACATTTAAAACCAATTTAAAAACACACTGTAAAAACAAATACAAAAGACAATTTAAAAATAAATAAACATACGTAATAAATTTATGATCAGTTGTAGGCACGGCTGAAAAAAAAACGTTTTCAGCCTGGACTTGAATATAGCTAGGGTAGCAGCCTGTCTCACACCTTCGGGAGGACTGTTCCAGATTCTAGGTGCATACAGTAGGTCTGGAACACTGCCTCCCCATGTCTAGTCCCAACTCTGGGCACCAACAGGAGACCAGTCCCTGCGCTTCTCAGAGCTGGAGCCGGCTCATATGGCACCAGCATGTTGCATATACGTATACCTTGGTGCGAGGCCATGGAGAGACTTGTATAAAAGGAGAGCTCATTTCAAATCTAATCTTTGAGCCACAGGAAGCCAGTGAAGATACCTGAGAACTGGGCTTTTAGTGACTAATTCAGTTGGGACAAACCAAATGTATTATTTAAGAGAGGAAAAGTTATGTACCCAAGCTTTAATTTGGCAATACCCTAGCACCCTTGGTTACAAATATGCAACATAAAGTTCAACAATTATGGCAAAAGAGGTACGACCTTTCAGTTTAATTTAACTAATGTCTGTACCCAAGAACCCAAAAAAGCAAATATGTCACATTGGCAAACACGCTAATTAGATGCTGATTTCCAAAAATAGCACAAATATTTTTTCTCAACAAATGTTTGTTATGTCTGGGTTCTACAGGGTTGATTGTAGATGTCTGTGCTGTGTGTTTGTAGACATTGAGTTGCTGGCTTCGTGCAGAGAGGAGTTCCATCGGCGTCTGAAGGTGTACCACGCCTGGAAAGCCAAAAACAAGAAACGCACAGATGACGACAGCAACCAGAGAGCTCCAAAGTCCATCACAGACTATGGTGAGCAGCTTCCACCCTGCCCCAATATCACTCACTTCATATGGGATACTTAACCTTTTAAGGCTTGGGTTGTGGTAGTAGTAGTGTCTGTAGGCGATGTGGTAGTGTGGTATGTGGGGGGGTGTTACAGATTGTTATATACCCAGGAATTAATTCTCCAGAGATCTAATAAACACATAATAACAACATAAACTCTTCTTCTGACCTTAATTTGAAGTCTCCATTCCCCAGTTCTCAATAGCATGTATTTTTTTCATTAACATCTGTGACAGCTTGGAGTCTTTTGTGGTAGTTGTGGATGAGGTTCTTTATCCTCTCCGATTATAAAGCTGGGAGGCAGGATTCCACTCGACAATTTTAAAAACCAGGTTAAATCAGTTCTGTTTAGCTGTGCATACAACTGAAGGATTGAATCTTCAGTCTGAACTTTGATTTTTTTTCGGATTGTTCCCATCTTGTTTTGTTAAGCACTTCGAGTTGCCTTTTGTATGAACTGGGCTATACAGATAAATAAAATCTCTGGCTGGGTGTGTGACCTTTTCAAGCGGGACTGTGTGTCACGTCAGTCTTGTGTTGTAGCCGAACAGAACCCAGCACCTCCTCCGCAGCAGCAGGAGGTGGCCATGAACCGTCAGCAGAGGTACTTCCGGATCCCCTTCATCCGGCCCGCGGACCAGTACAAGGACCCGCAGAACAAGAAGAAGGGCTGGTGGTACGCACATTTCGACGGGCCCTGGATCGCACGCCAGGTGGAGCTGCACCCTGACAAGAGACCCATCGTCCTGGTGGCCGGTTAGTGCAACTGCAGCCTTTCAACTGGCTCCATTCACTCGTGCAGGAGTTGGCTTTACTTATGGCACATTCAGAGATGGGACAGAGGACTTTACCACCCAGAACACACATAGATCCTTAAGGGTGAAAATGCTGAAAAATACCAATTAAATTTTACAGTGATGGTAAGAACAAAGATACCTTCTGCACTTTGGAGGACAATATTTTACAATTTTACAAAGCAGTGTATTACTAAAATGCTGTCTGTTTTCATCATTAGAAAATATATACACAAAAACATACAGGCACATCATATTTTGTGATACAGCCAAACCCAATACCCCTACCATTGTAAATACCAGACTCCTGCATTTTTGTATTTTCAGATATTGTCTAAATGTTTTTTTTTTCTTTATATAACTTCTGTGTTTTGTATTCAGGCAAAGACGATATGGAGATGTGTGAGCTGAGCCTGGAGGAGACTGGTCTGACCCGGAAGAGAGGAGCCGAGATCTTGCCGCGACAGTTCGAGGAGATCTGGGAGCGCTGTGACGGCATCCAGTATCTGAAGAAGGCCATCGAGAACAAACAGGCGCGGCCCACGTACGCCACCGCCATGCTGCAGAGTCTGCTCAAATGATGTCACAGGACCACTGCTAACCTGGATTTCCCTTTTCTTCCACCCCCTACTGACCACTACTGCTCCTCACAGCTCACTACAGCTCACTGGCACCATGGATCTATAATAATAATAATTGGATAGGGTATTACTAGCTTACAGCTGTCCCAACTCTGGGCACAGGGGGCGCCCGTGGTACTGCAGACTAAATTCTCGTGGGCTACCCAGAAAAAAGTCCCCTAGAACTCAATGTAAACTAAAACAGCGCGACCTCAGCTGACAGAGAACCTACAGCTTTCATAAAGATCAGATTTTGTGGGGATTTTAGTGTCCCTTGTCATCCTGAACCTTTTTTCTTCTTAAATCCTTCGGTTTTCTTTAAATCCACACTTTACTGCCACAAACTCTGCTTGTTTCCTTCCCGTTCTGCCTCCGCTCTACCACTGCTCTGACCAATCAGACCAATCTGACCAATCAAAGCACTGCCGACACCCTCTGTGCGCGTGCATGAGAGCCACACACGCGTATTTGTCGCAAAGCATCATGGGAGCTCGTCCACTGCGCAGAACCGGGAGGACCAGACGATGCCCAAATATAGGCGAGTTCTGCTAATCTCCCGGTCCCTGTGAAGTCCCATGCGTTAATGAGCAAAAGCCATTCATCTGAATAGGGCGCCATCTTGGATCACCGGGGCTTGACTGGCAGACATAATTGGCACTTACAGCTCACTACCGTCTCCTGCTGACCACAGTTGACCACTACTCTCCTTCTTAGCACACTACTGCCCACTACAGCACCCTTTTAAATCATGTTTCACTGATGTTGTCTCTCCATCTTCTGTTTTTCTGTTTGTTGTTTTTTGTACCTTTTATTTGTGAGGCCTTCCATCTGTTAGCATTAAAAATCATGTTTATATTTAAGCCCCAAAATATCGGTGAATATGAATTATGAACCATTTTTACCCCATAATTCAAAACTGTTGCTTCATGAGATGGTGGGCTGAACTCTAATTCTATTTATATTGTTTATTTATTATTTGTTGCCATGCATTAGTAAGTCGCAGCCTTCACATCCCAAGTGGACCCTTCGCGTCGATTTTTTTGTAGAAGATAATTGAAGTTAGGATTTTGCTTTGTGAATGTTGTGCTCTTCATTTTCCAACGGTTGAGTGTGAGTTTTTTTAAGAAATATGTCTATAAACATTCCAGAAAAAAATAAACTCTATACAGTGTGGATTTAAAACTCTTTGAAAAGTGCTGTTTATTCATCCCACAATATGAAAATTCCAGAAAATATCAAAATAGCTTTATTGTATTATGATGTGTGAAGACAGAGGCAAAAAACGACAATACAGTCAAGATTAATTTTAGTTCATCATTATTTAATAGGTATTTACATTTTCATTTTAATGTAAAATGTAAATGTAAAAATGATACAATAAACATGCCAATATACAGCTCTCCATAGTCCACTATCACTGTGTTTTATACTGGTCTATGCACTAGAGCTTTGTGTATCCAATAAATAATAAAACCTCATTATGAGGAAAGAACCACCTCATACAAAGGAAACGGTCTTGATCTGTGAAACTAATTCGGGCGTTCTGCTCTCCCAAAATTCCATCCGATGGGCGGGGGAGCGACTAAATTTTGCGTTGCATTATGGGTAACACTTGCCTTCGCAACTTCCGGTTCTCTCTGCCCGGCGCATTTTCTCTAAATGGTTGAGAGTTTTCGTCATTTTCTGTTGAATCCGGTTTTATCATGGGCTTCAAGTGTGCCGCCGCTAATTGCATACCGCGCAAATCATCCGTACAATTCACATTCTTCCCTCTTAGCTGAACTTCATTCTCATTGTTACCATCTGTCACTCGCACACACAGCCGTTTTCGTTCACTCTGCTCGCTGTCATCTTCTTCTAAATCTTCATAAACACCATCCGCTCGTTGAACTAGCAACAACAATTCCTCCTTTCGTTTTCCCACACTGCAAATACCCTTTCGCTTCAACCTTTCACGCAATTCAGGCACTGTCAATCGTTTGTTGTTTTCGTGAGCCATATTCGCCATTGTATGAAATCAACCGGAAGTGAACTGGGCAACAAACTGTGTCATTTTTTGATCACAGCGCCGCTCAGTGGATGAAATTTTGGGAGAGCAGAACGCCCGAATTACACCACAGTGACTTCCAAGCAGTCGTTCTCTGATGCTCTCAGAACACAGCATGTTTTTCCAGGGCTTTGTGGCAACCACGTCTGAAATCAGAGGATAAAAGTAAATTAAAACACTGACATCTCCTCACCATCCTTTCACTAAGAGTAGATATTATTTTTTACTAATAACAACATAACAAAACATACTAAACCCTTTGTGCATTTATCTGATGAATATTACAATGCATAAAAAACAATAAACAATGTCAGAACTTTAAAATATACAAAAAAATAAGGAAAACAAGAAACTAAGTGATTTTTTTTTATGGTACAGATAAGGCTGATATAGATTAAAATTTAGAAAAAAAACACTTTCCATTGAATTTGGATTCTTTTAGACGTAATTTTGTCAATATTTATTTTAAGTTGACATATTTATCTGGATCATTCCAAACCTATTGTGTAAGGGACCTACCAACTAGGCAGGAAGTAGAGTCATATCTGAACTATACATTTAGTTATGTTTAGTGTTGTGATTAGTCTGAGCTGTTATATGGCCTTGATCACCCAGGTAACAAAGTAACCAAGCAACCCATATCTCTGTCACTATGGTAACAATCTCACTGACATAACGCATTCTAGAACATTATTTGCTAAACAAACTCCACTGTTCGCTTGTGGTGAAGTAGTACGGCAGAGGCCTTACTGGTCGGGTCTGGGTCACAGAGACAGGGCTTCACTTTCACCCACTGCAGCTGTTTGAGGATAATTGATGGTTGATGATGCAAGATAATAATAATTCAACAACATCGAATATGGCTGCGGATCTGAAAGTCTTGTTGGAGTGCATCACCAGCGCTACTCTCCTGATCAGACCAAACAACATTCCCAAATTTTTAGCTGAATATACCTCAGAACTGGTCAGCTATCGAGACCAGCACAAAGAGATTGACCCGATTGTTGCTGCTTATGACTTTCAAAAAGAGTTCAACAATGTCTACGTCCAGAAGCAATTAGTGGGCAAAGAAACAGTTGAATTGAAAGCCTCTATTCCCAAAGATGTCGACAAATATGTGGAAGTGTTATTTAAGAACACTATTCTAACATGTTCGAAACTAACCAAACAGAGTGACATACAAAGAGCCCAAGTGGACACTCCTCTTGCTTTCAGAAGGGAGCAACAAAGTAAGAGTGAGTCAGCGCCCACAAAGCTACTACCGGTGACCTCTGGATTACTAAAAGCATCCAAAGACTCTCTAAAAGCAACTCAGACTGGACCAAATCAGCCAACACGCTCAAAAGTCCAAGTTGATAGTTCAGTAGCCAGAGAGGGGCAAATAGAGATAACCAAGCAGGTGCAAGTCGCATCAAAACGAGATGTAAAAAGGTCTGACAGTTCACCAATTCCACCAAAACTGTCAAAGGGTCAAGTGACGGTTAGGAGTGCACCAGACAAGACACCCAGAACAACACCCATATGCACAAAAGATGAAGCAAAAACATCTCAGCCTGGACGGCATCAGCCAAAATCCTTGGTTGGGCCAGATGACAGTTCGACAAAGAACACTACAACAGCTAATGCAGCAGAGCTAGAAGACCATCACCCTTCATTGATGACAAAAGATGCGTCAGTAGCACCAAAACAAGGTCTGAAAACAGCTGACAGTGCGCCAACTCAGCCGAAACCGTCAATGGTCCAAGTGTTGGCTGCGACACGTCCAAAAGAGACAAAATTCACTACAGCAACAGTTAAGGTACATGTAAACCACAACCAACGCACTCACACCCAATTGGAGGCAAAATTAGCACATAAAGAAGATACTCCAAACGCATCTCAGACTGAACCGAATCAGTCCAAATTTGCACAAGTCCCAGATCCCAGTTCAACAAAGAGCACTACAGCTGCCAATAAGGCGCCTATACACAACACACGACCAGCTAGTACCCAACTGGATACTAAAGATACTCTAAAATTATCTCACGCTGAACTGAGACAGGCAAAATTGTCAGTTGATCCAGATGACAGTTCAACAAGTCATACAAAGCCCTCAAAGGGGAAGGTGTTGACCGTGAGTTCAGTGAAAGCCCCAAAAGAAGTCACAGCCACACTCAGTAAGGCACATTTAGACCGCAGTACGCACACTCACACCCCTTTGGATACTAAGCATGCAGCAGCAGCACCTATACAAGGTTCTCTAAAAACATCTCAAACTGGGCCGAGTCAGTCAAAGTCCTCGGTTGATCCAGATGCCAGGTTGTCAGAAAACACTACGGCTGACAGTGATCGACAATTGGACGATAATCGCACCTCACTCATAACCAAACATGTAAAATTTGCGCCAAAACTTGAGCTGAAAACTGCGGACAATGCTACAGTTCAGCCAAAACTGCTTGTGAATTCAGTGACAAGCACCAACGAGACAAAAATAACAGAAACACCCCAAAAAGCACATCACGCACCAGTAGCACTTCAACAGAAAAATCTAAAAACATTGCAAACTGCACCACAAAAACACACAAAGGTCCCAGATTGCAGTTCAAACAGAAACACTACAGCACCTAGTAAATCAGACCACAGTCAACCCTTGTCAACACACTTCTCAACGAAAAACACAGCTGACACTTTGCCAATTCAGTCAAAGTCGTCCAAGGTACAATCATTACCAAAAGAGAAAAAAATCACAGCAGTATCCATAAAGACCCAACATGCTCCAATTACACCCAAACAAAATACACCAAAAACATCTCAAACTACATCAAATAAGGCAAAAATTGCAAACACCCCTGATCGCAGTTCAACAATAATCACTGCAAACGCCAACAACACACATTTAGACCACACTAGTACACCCACTAGTAGCCAACTGGATACCAAGCATGTGGCAATAGCGCTGAAAAAGGATACTCCAAGAGAATCTGAAACTGAACTAAAGCCGTTAAAACTTACACAAATTCCAGATCCCATTTCAACACAAAAGTCTACAGAAACAAGTAAGACAAAGTTGGTGACTAAACATAAGCCAGTCGCACCAAAAAAGTATCTGAAATCATCTGACAGTGCGCCAATCCAGCAGACAAAGAACACTACAGCAGCCGGTAAGACACATTTAGACCACACTCGACCAACTAGCACCCAACATGATTCCAAACATGTGGCACCTAAAACATCGCAGACAAAACCTAATCGGACACAACCCTCAAATGTTCCAGAAGACAGTTTGAGAAAGTACACTACAGCAGCCGGTAAGACACATTTAGACCACACTCGACCGACTAGCACCCAACATGATTCCAAACATGTGGCACCTAAAACATCGCAGACCAAACCCAATCGGACGCAATCTTTAAATGTTCTAGAAGAAAGTGCGACAAAAATCGCTAAATGTGCTTCATCGAATGCCACGGCTTTACTTACAACTGTATCAGGACAGGCTGGTCCAAACACCTCAACCTCTGTAAGTGACCCGAAACAGACAGATTTTACCGACAAACGTTTACCGACCGACACTAAACAGAGATCTGTAAAAAGATCTAAGAGCAGGGAAGTGAAAACACCATCTGCAGCGGTATCTACACCATTTAGAAGCCAATACAAAGAGGCTAGTGGTCAGAAAGGTTCTATTCGACCAGGTGTAGCCCCAAGCACAGCTCAAAAGGCTGGAGCCAACGCAACCACCCAAGGTCATCCTGTGCACGCACCTGGAACACCCCAAAGCATTAATACTGCCTCTGAACAGACCAATCAGGAAGAGGCCCAAAACCCTTCTACACAAGGCAACATTTCAGCGTACCCAACCACACTCAACATCACTAATACTGCATCCAAAGCATCCATACATTTAAAAGCACCAACAAAATTAAGAGCTCTTTCAGGCCCCATTGTCAAAGCGGACACACAAAACAGCAAGAGAGTGAGCTGGGCAGAGTGGCAACGATCGAGATCCCATATGAAAAGTGGTAGTGAGGACATACTAGATGCTACACCCCCAGCCATTGTCAGTCATGGGGTCAGAAGGGCTTCTGAGCCCATGACTGACAATTACTTTGAAAAGCTTGAGATGTATGTCTCTTCTCACACTTGCCCCCATCTTTCTCACACCGTCTACATAATAAAATACAGCGCCATATGAGGCTATACACAACATGGAAACAACAAACAAGAAGAAACAAGCTGCCGATCTTGCATTAGGTGCAAATAATGAACAAAGTGTCTATCTTTGTCTCAAACAATAAATATTGCAAACAATACATTTGTGTGTATTCATTGTAAATTCTCATTGTGTATATAGAATTGTGTCATGTATGAGTCTTTTTATATCAAGATTATCTGATACTAATTATAGTAATAGTGTTGTAGCAAAATAGACAACAGAGACACAAAATCATTTGTGACATTTTTCAGTTGTATGCTGGAGTCTTACCTGACTGTGTGGGATACAGTGGTGGAAATCCACCATATTCGACATTAACTTTTCGGATCTTGTTGTGTAGAGCTGTCTGGGGATCTAAAAGCAAAAACAAGAATTGTGAGTGCTATATAAATTGGCACAGGTGTGATATTCCAGATGGTTTTTCAGATGGAATTGTAAATAAACCAGTGGTCTCCAACCTGTTCTCCCCATAACCATACTTTTGTAACATTTCAGATTACCAGGTGAATTTTCTCTCTGATATTCTTGTTAATAATATGAATATTCAAATCTTTCCTTTTGGCCTTGAACATGGTTGGGAACCTCTGACTGAAAACATTGAAAGCAGTTGTTTAACAAACCATTTGAAGATATGTTGTTAAAATGTAATATTTTTTATAGAACTAGTGAGTATAGAGGTTATGCATTAAAGTACAGTTATAATAGTCATACAAATATAAGAAGGTTATACTCTAACAGGACCAGTTAAGCTGTGGTTATGATTAAGTGGGAAAGGTTTAGTTGAGGTTAGAGATTTCAGCCCTCTGTATACCTCAATACTGAGATGAATATTTTCAATTGAGGCAAAATGCTCTTGCTCAGATGCTTGTGACTGGGAAGAGCTTGGAGGATAAGGCAATGTTGATGTCTGAGTGATAAGTTCATCATCGTTCTGAAAAGCAGGATTCACCCGCAATGCATGGTCAAACGCAAAAGGAGTCTGCCTACGTGGATAAAAACAAAGTCATGGGGATAAGAAAAACACGTAATTACAGATGATTTACTTACACTGTGGTTACTGCTTTTTGGGGTCGGATGCATTTCTTGTTAATAAATATTAGAATGCTGATGACAGCGGCAACAAGGCAAAGACTCCCCACGAGGGCGGTAATGATGAAGGAAGTGTCCAGAGGAAGCGTGATCAGCTCATCACAGCGCTCACCATGGTAGTGCCAGTATTTACCAACAGGGCATCTGAAATATTCAAACCACATTCAGTAATACATTCACTATGAGGTTGTTAGGTGATGAAATTAAACAACACTCTCAACAATTTCTGTATTTTATGCAAGCTACACAATTCTAACCTCAACCAAAAACCTTGACCAAATTCCACTGCTGACCATAACCCTAACCTCAGGCTTTGTTTTGACCCCAAGAGTGAGGTTGAAGCGCACATCACAATCTGAGTGGCGTGCAAAACGTTCAAAATAGTAAAATGAAAAATATTGAGAGATCCCAGGGGATTATTTTATTTCGCACCATAAGATGTGACGTTTCGGGCAAGATTCATCGTGTCTAATGAAGGGTAATCTTTCCCGAAAAATCATATCTTGTAGTGCGAAATGAAAAAATCCCTTGGGAGCTAGGGCTGTGCAGAGTCATCTCCATATTCTAGTTTTGACCCCAATCATTGTCCCAACTCCAACCAGAACCCGACTTCGAATCCCAACCCTAGTACTAACACTCAATCAATCAATCAACGTTTATTTATAGAGCGCCTTTCCTACACAAGGCAACGCAAAGCGCCTCACAACCCATATAACATCATGCATAAATCATCAAACATTAGAATTTAAGTAAACATAAAAAGACAGATTAAGAGCACAAGATATATAAAATTACACAAGTAGTTAAAAACCGTAAAAAATTAAAATCACACAAGGGATTACAATCATAAATAATCATAAATAATCATAGCGCATTAAAAAGATTAAAGATAAAAACAAATGTAAAATCATTCACTTGTATGCACAGCTAAAAAGAACTGTTTTCAGTTCAGTTTTAAAAACTGCTAGAGTAGACGCCTGTCTCACACTCTCGGGAAGACGGTTCCAGACTCTAGCTGCATGAATCTGAAACGCAGCCTCCCCATGTCTAGTTCCGACTCTTGGCACTAACAGAAGTCCAGTCCCTGTGCTCCTCAGAGCCCGAGTTGGTTCATATGGCACCAACATGTCGCGGATGTACCCTGGTGCGAGGCCATGGAGAGACTTGTACACAAGTAAAGCTACTTTAAAATCTATTCTCTGAGCCACAGGAAGCCAGTGCAGAGACCTGAGGACCGGACTAATGTGGTCGTACTTCCTGGTTCTAGTCAGGACTCGAGCTGCAGCATTTTGGATGTACTGCAGCTGTTTTACCGCTTGTTTAGAGAGACCTGTGAACAAGCCATTGCAGTAGTCCAATCGACTGGAGACAAATGCGTGGATAAGAATCTCCAAGTCTGCTTTAGACACAATGTTTTTAATTTTAGCAATGTTTCTTAGGTGGAAGTAAGCTGATGATGTCACAGATGATATGTGGCTATTGAAATTCAAGTCTGAGTCCATTATTACTCCTAGATTTCTGACCTGAGTTGAGGGTTTCAGGGAGAGAGACTGGAGGTGGCAGATAACGCTCTCTCTTTGTTTCTGAGGTCCGAAAACAATAATTTCAGTTTTTTCTGTGTTTAGCTGGAGAAAGTTATTTTGCATCCAATCACTGATCTGTTGGATACAGTGAAGGAGCGAGTCCACTGGTCCATGTTCTCCTGCTGTCAGGGACACATAGACCTGAGTATCGTCAGCGTAATTGTGATAGGACACGTTATTACTGTGTATTAACCTACCCAGAGGCAGCATGTAAAACACCAACTCTAACCTCAACCCTAGTTCTGACCCAAATCCTAATCCCAATTTTAACCGCAGTCCTATCCCCAACACCAATTCTAATTCCACCTCAAAGGCCAAGTCTAATCCCAACTCCAGCCCCAACACTAGTTCTGACTCCAGCCCCAACCCTAGCTCTGACTCCAACCCTAATCCTAGCCCCAACCCCAATCAGAAATTGTGTCAAACTGAACTCTATGTAATAAGTGTACAAGTTGCTTATTTTCTTGTATCTGAATGTGAGGCTGTGAGTTGTACCTGCAGGTGGCGCCGTGGCCGGGGATGTTTTCACACAGTCCTCCGTTGAGGCAGAAGTCTGGTTCCAAAGTGCATAGGCTCTGGCAGGTCTGTCCCTCCCCCTCTGCTCTGTAGCCAAGATCACACATGCACTCGGCCTCTCCGCTCCAGCCGTTTATAATACATCGAGAGAACTCTGAACAAGTGATGGACTGACATGGGTCCGGCTCGTCAGCTGAAAATATAAGAAATTAGCAAGGTAATGCAAATCACAGCTATTAAATCTGGTGTATCTAACTTTGTGTTTGTTTCATAAATACATGTTATAACAGAATCTTGCTTCAATAATATTTTGTGAACAAATCAGACCACAACAGACAATCTTTTACATCTTGATCTTGTAGCAAGTAACATGGATTTTACTGCATGGACTTATTTGTGGTTTCAAAGTTTGGTACTCCAACTTTAAACTTTGGAAGACCTAATTTATCACTGTTAAATTTAGGATTATTTCATTATTGGTATGAATTTGCAGTATAATTGTTCCGCGAGACAAGACGCAACCCAAGATTGAGTCTACAAGATGAGATAAATTTAGAGGGGCGACAGTAGCTCAGTTGGTAGGGCGTTGGCCTTTGAGCCAGAAGGTTGTGGGTTCGAGCCCACCTCAAGACTTTCACCATCGACTCCCACTGTCGTTGTGTCCTTGGCAAGACACTTAACCTCTGGGAACACCTGATGCCACAGTGGGGCGGCTGTAAAGTGCCAAACTGCCGTTTGTCCATAGGCAAGAGACTTCACCCCCTTTGCCTAGAATGAGTCTGGTGTGTGTGTGAATGGTTGGTGGTGGTATGGCTGCCTTGGTTCTGTCAGTGTGCCCCAGGGCAGCTGTGGCTACAGTAGTAGTTTATCACCACCGTGTATGGAGTGAATGAATAATGACATCTGAAGCATCTTTGAGTGTCCAAAAAAGCGCTATATAAAATACCTAACCCTATATTTATTTTTTTACCTCCTTAATTTGTTGTCAACCCGATTATAAACCGGATTGAGTAAGTAACTCATGTACATTTATATAGCGCATTTTACAGACCAAGGTCACCCAAAGCGATTTACAATGTTCTAAGTTCAGATATTATACTCCACACGCGGTGATGACCCATCCCTAGTGCTTTGTCATGGGATTCTATGCCGTCATATATTGGTTTTGTTAATGGTGCCAACCTGGTTCGACCTCCAGAGAGCGGCTGTCCACCTGAATGTCCAGTTGGCTGGTGGCAGAGCTGCAGAAGTCCTCCAGGACACATTGGACTGCGTCAGTGACATTGTATGGCACTGCTTTGTTCAGCTTCATCTTACTGTTCACGATAACGCTACCGTTCTGGAAGCTCAGGATCTCCAGTGCTTTGAAACCCGTTAGGTTGGTCGCCAGGTATGGAAGAAGCTGTAGGAACAGTTTTGTGAGTTTACAATTACAATCTGGACCATGTGGACTTATAGTATCTCCAATTCTTTTACAGGAAATAGTCAAACTGATATTAGTGAAGAGTGAGTAAGGGTGAAGAAGAGTCTTGCAGTGAAAGCAGCACAGTGGCAATTAGATAAGATTTATTTCAAACATCTAAAACATTTTAAAAAGCCTTACATATTCTGAAAAAGTTTAAGGCTTTTTGAAATGTGCAAGGTTCCATCAGCACTCAAAGTTATGTATTTTTCTTACATTGTTTTCTCACTCCTGGGATCATGTGTTCTATAACAGGGGTTTGATGCTAATGCATAGGTAAAAATTTAGAACTTTTTTAGAGGTGAGCTGCAGTCTGTCTATTGTGCATATTTTAGCTGCATAATCCTGGCAACTGTGGCCAGGAGGATTAGGAGAATGATCATAATAAACTGCATTGATATCAATGTTCCCAGATTACTTGGAGAAAACAGTGTCTGGATTCAGTCATAAACAAAGCTGCATGTGCTGTGAGCATGATTGCGCAAAGATTAGTGAAAGGAACAGAGACGTATTGGTTAGGACATGAAAGCCCCACGCAACAAGGGAAGAATGTACCGGGATGGACGCTAACGTTCGCAGTGCCTGTGGCCCTGATTTACTTGAGGCTCCAGGGTTCTCTGTCTTTCTTAGCCGGGGCCGCTGTGTCTAAAACAAATCATTTCAATCCATTTTATGTTCATATGATTTTTTCAAACATGCTAACATTAGACTAGTGTTTTCACAATTTACAAACTTGAGTCAGGCAAAGGTTGACAACAAACTGTAATTTTAGACTGTTTCAACCAACAATTTGAAGAGATAAATGTGTGGGAACTCACCAGCTCCAGAAAGGTGTTCTCCAGTGTCTTGTACTCAGCAGAGTCTTTGTTGAAGAGGCTATCTGTGAACATCATGTTGGACACTCGGAGACGGAAAAACACCACCAGGTCTTTGCTGCGCTCCACTGCTGCCATCATAGGAGTGCTGGCCTGTCTCATGGCAGGAGCACGGGTCCAATATAGACCTGTGTCTGCCTCAGCGGACAATCCACTCCCACTGCCCTCCTCTGTGGGGGACACACTTAGCTCCTCCTCTGTGAAGGTTGCCCCAGACTCAGAAGAGATTGTTTCAAGGTCACTGGTCACAGATGCAGGTGTGGTCACAGTCCTGTCCTCTCCTGGAAGGACAGTCTCCTCAACTTTATGGACAGCCTCCTTCTCTACTTCAGGGACAGCCTCTCCCTTGTCTGGAACGACAATCTCCCCGACAGGAAGGACAGTATCCTCTTCAACTTTAAGGACAGCCTTCTTCTCAACTTCGGAGACAGCCTCCTCCTCGACAGGGAGAACAACCTCCTCTACTGGTACGGCAACCTCCTCTTCGGCAGGAGCGACAGCCTCCTCCTCGACTTGGGGGACAATAACCTCCTCGACAGGAAGAGCAACCTCTTCAACAGGAAGTACAGTCTCCTCGACAGGAAGGACAGCTTCCTCGACAGGAAGGACAGCTTCCTCGACAGGAAGGACAGTCTCCTCGACAGGAAGGACAGTCTCCTCGACAGGAAGGACAGTCTCCTCGACAGGAAGGACAGTCTCCTCAACAGGAAGGACAGTCTCCTCGACAGGAAGCATAACCTCCTTGACAGGAAGTACAGCTTCCTCCACAACAGGAAGTACAGCCTCATTGATAGGATGTACTGGCTCCTCTACAACAGGAAGTACAGCCTCATTGATAGGATGTACTGGTTCCTCTACAACAGGAAGTACAGCCTCCTCCTCCTGGACTGTGTGGACAGTCTCCTCGCTGCTCTGTCCAGACGCTCGGATGTCGGCTGCAGCTGAAGTGTCCACAGTTGTGTCCACCTTCTTGGCGTGTGAATCAGTGCTCTCCAGAGAAGTGGGGACTGTGACCTGCATCTCTGGGATTTGTGTTGGTGAATCATCGCTGAACAAATGTATAACCGCTGCCGATTCTAGAGAAGGAAAGCACACACGCGGTACAATGTAAGGATTTTGAACGGTTATTTCATTAGTTCAGAACACTTTCTTTTTAGGAGAGTAAACTAAGCCAAAAGTCATTTGCAACTGCTATTGTCCCTCACCTGTTGTCTGGGAGTCGTGTATTTCTTCTATAGACGGTAAAAGTTCCACATGTGTCACAGCCTCTCGTGCAGGATGTGCTGGAGTTGCCTCAGGTTCGACCCAATTGACCATTGTCAGGTCATCAGGAATAAAAGGCATAACAGTTGACATATTGAAATCTTCAAAGTATGTAGATGCACTCATGGCATTTGTTGAGCTTCCTTCAACTGGGAAAGCCATAGTATGAGTTTTTTTGTGGTCGTCCACTGCGTAAACTATAACAAGTAAGAAAAAAGTGATTAAAACTTTACAAACTTTGTCCTCTTTTAGATCTCATTTGACATTGGATCATTATGATAAACAGTAATGAAACCACTGTCAGCATTACACAGTGGGATTCATACCGGCGTCAAAGTTGAGACCGTTGAGATCCAGTGGAAGTGAATGCTCTTGCTTCAGGGCTCTCATGATGATGTTCTGGAGGTTGGGTACATTCATGTCCCTCTGTGTTTCCACATCAGTTGTGTGGAATCCCTCCGGCTGGTCACCAAGTTCAGTGTCTCCGTTGAATAGGACTGCGTAACGCACAGACATGTCCTCTGCCCTGAAGATCACAAAACAATCTGTGTGAATAGATATTGGAAAAACACACAGCATGCATGTTTAATCTTCATTCAACAAATTATAATGCTCTACTTACCGAAATCCCAGAACTTGGATATCTTTGAACCCAGGAATGCTTGCAAAAACTTGATACATCTGAAAAAAACAGGTAATATGAATTTAAAACAAGTAAATCATGACACAATCACACTTCTCAAAGACACAATGTCGTTAGTAGTAATAGATCGGAAAGAGCTGAGCACCTTGTCCCTGAGCTCCCGAACCGCATCAGCATACTCAGGCGTCGCCGGGTCTCGGAGGAGCTCGCTGTAGACGGGGTCCTCGATCGTCACACTGAACTCCACTATGTACTGAAGCGGATTCTCAGGGATTAGGTTCGGCTCCTCAAACATCTAAACAAAAAGGACAATAATGGAGAAAATAAACACGTTGGATTGTAATGATTCTTCCCAACACAAACAAGTTCAAGATTACCATGGATGGCTCTGTAGGAATTATGGCTGGCTCTGTAGGAATAATGGCTGGTTCTGTAGGATCTATGGCTGGTTCTGTAGGATCTATGGCTGGTTCTGTAGGATCTATGGCAGGCTCTGTTGGTATTATACTCTGAAGGGTCCAGGTACCTGAGACAAAAAAACACAAAAATAAGTATGGATTGACAACCATTCCCTCTCCAGACCACCATCAGAAACTTACAGTCTATGCCAGGTGCAGGTGTTTCTGCCATAGCTCTGAAAAAACAATATAATATACTTTGAGAAATCAGAAAGATGAATGTAATGTAAAGAAGAAGAAGGTTGCACTTACCCTTCACTATCTCCGAGATCAGCGACTCTCTGCAAGCAAACACAGGCATAGGATTACTGAAGTTTCTGTCTCCCGTGGGAACTGTCTTACCCGCCTTCACACCAGTCCTCCTTCTACCACTGAATAGTTGTCAGTCAAAGATTTCTGCCTGAAATTAAAAAGTGCCTCTCCTCATCTTCACTCAGTTTTCATCACGTGCTGCACCTCTCCTCCTCCCCATCAACACCTCAACTCTAATCTAACATGCCATCAACCAGTATAGTTCAGTGATACAGTAAAGTAAATACATTTTCAGAAAGCAGTATACCTTCAAGAATACTCAATAAACATAATTCTTGATTTTGTCTGTTTAAGTCTTTCCATTAATACCATTTGGGATACAAAATAGGGTATTGCTGCAACAACATCAATACTATCAAAAGAAGCACATAAGTTATCTGAAGCCAATTTACTTTTATGGCCATTTGTGACAACGGGGCAACCTACACAGCGTATAATGGGTAGATGCTAACTAACGTGTTGCTAAGATGGTTGCTAAGGCAAGCTGGAGTTTCCCTCATTGAAATAAGACGTCTGTTTGGTCGATACTTATGGCTCATAACCAGCTTTAGAAAGACAGTGTCAAAATAAAAGCAGCAGAATCATAGTGAGGGCAATACACAATTTCTTTAAGCCCAAAATTGTGAGTGTGGCACAAAGGGTTACTGAGTGAGAGGAGTTTACTTTTCAATGTAAGTCAATAGGAGCCAGAGCGAATTGGAGCAAAACTTTGTCCATGAGCACTTCGGCTTGATTGAGCATAGCAGCTTTGGCATTTTCCACCAGTGTACTGTGTATGTGCAGAACTCACTCTTGCCACCAGGTCCAAATGTTCAGGAGAAGAGCTGAAGTTTAGGGCCAGGTCATCCAGGCAGAGGTTCTCGTGTTGACAAGTGTAGACCCACGACATGTACTCCTCGGAGTTGGGAACACGATCAAAGAAAATACGGAACGCTTCCCAAATGGCTTCTTGGCAGACTGTAAATGGATAGGAAATCAATAGAATCAAGACCAGATGGGTACTGTGACGTTAAAATACTTGTAGGAAGAGAAGCAGAAAACTAACAACTTTGATCATGCTAGATAATTAATAATCAAGATACAATAGTTTGATGCCTGTCTTTGTACCTCTATAGATCTATTCTGTACTGGAGACTAGCCCTGATTTGGTCAGTTTTTGTTATTTTTCTTAGCAGTTGTATAAGAAATAACAATGAGGCAATGGGTGAAACATACGGGTGAAAGAGCAAACAGCAGAGGACTTAACAGCACCCCTGTCAAGAGCCTCTGGCAATGCCAAAAGATTTTTATTTATGTGAACTCATTTGTTTTTCTGTTGAGCATGATAAAAACATAGAACTCCTAAATCTTACCATTCTTAATATGATCTTAAAACATGTACATTTCTTTAGATTCACACAATGCTGCACATGCTTCTGCTGACCTCTGAGCCGGTAGTAAGCACGGTGGCTGGTGATGACGGCCTTTGCTGTTTCCTGAGGACACACTTTGACTCCTGTGCTGAAAAGAGCCGAGCGTTTGGTTCTGCCGCTGTAGGACACCGAGCGGGACGTCTGAAGGTAGTGTCTGTATCTCACGTCTCTCAGTCCAGCAAGGTCTGAGGCTGCCTTTTCCCAGGGAGTCACTGAGAGAAGAAAATGTGTGTTTATTTGAACAGTATTAATTCTGCTGAAAAAGGAATGGGCTGAAGAAAAAGCACCCTCACCCCCAAACTTCAGACTATCAAATGACATAAACATGAATCATAGTGAAAGTCTGTTATGCTAAATTACAAACAAACAGTATGTGTCAGTAGTGTTTGTTTCATGTTTGAGAATGTGCAATTATTTGTTAAAAGTGCATTCCTCAGCTGTCCTGGTGGTGCACCCACTTTTCACTTCATATAAAATTTTGTATTTTTAACATTTAACAGTAATGAACATTGGTCATCTCTCTCCCTATGGCATTGCGTTAATTGCATTTCCTGTGTTCGCACTGTTTGTTTCGCTGATCTGTGTTAGCGAATCGACAACTACCGTTGTGATTTAGGGCTATGGTAATTGAAATGTTTTTCCAAGATATTCATATAGTTAGCATACAATACAAGCATGTGACTTACATCATGTGGCTGAGTTTCAAGATAAATCAGTAAAAACGCAAATCTTTAAAAAAAAATTCTCAACTAAAATCATCCACAATTGAAATGTGTATGTTTTAAACTGTGCTATTGGTAGCACAGTGATATTGTGATATTGTAAGCAATGCTATGCTAACATATCTCAGGAATCGGAGAAGTTCAAAAAAAGCAGGTTATTGCCAGGAGAGTTGGAGAATACATTTGATAAAATTATGTATTAAATACAGAGAGATTATAAGAAAAAGCCATAACTTAGATAAGATGAGATAAAATATATGCCGAAATTTCAATGTCATAGTTGTGCACAATAGAGTTGAGAAATAGGAGCTCTAGAAAAATAAATAAGAGTGCTCAGAAGTGAGAAAATAACTGTCCATCTTAGTAAAACGTTCAAAGCAAGAACAAAAAAACAATCCATGTAGAAAAAGTGGTAAACTCCCATCTGGGCATTTTCCGCTTTAATGACACATATTATCACCAACATTAAAGCTGTGAAGGCTGTGAATGGATTTGATCTTGGAGCCAGCCCTGAGTCACTGTTCACTAATGATCTAAGACGCCCCAACTAGACCAGAGAGCCAATTGACCTGGACCTCGAACCTTGCAACATGAGAGAAGGATTTTTTTTTTTTTTTTAAAGCTTTTTATGCTAAATATGTACCAGAATAAACCAAAATGTTGAACTCTTACTTGTTTTTTAGGTTGATTGGTCAAATTTGCACTTGACAACTGGGATTCTGATATGTTCAAATCCACTAAGCATCACACATTTTTTTTATTAAAAGCTATATTATACCCCGTTTTCTTCTCTTGTCTTCACATATATTCTTCATATATATTTTGGCAACATGGTTTTTTTTCCAAGGCTGATGGATTAGTGTGACCCTTGTCCAGGTGTGAAAAGGAAGAAGCCCATAAAAGGATTACCCTCAGGTAGAGATAGAAGAAGCCATCTTTCAACTGGGTAATTAATATATCGGTGGTTAATGCAAAAAAGCAATGATGGACGATTATTTGGTATCTTTATCTGATGATCCAGGGCCGTCGACATTCAACAACATTTACGGACAATGGTCATCGGTCCCTGGACCTCTAGACCAATGGCTTGCCGTGTTTTTATCATTGCATATCTTGTTGTATACAGTCTATGGTTATTGATTCTCTTCTCTGTGAATTCAACGGTTTTGTAAAGTTAGGTCCATGCAAAAAATAATTGATTTGAAATGAATTATAATGCTCCTTCATTTAAGACATTATCAAAATGCCAACGTAAGCTTCTTCTCTACTCAAGGTGTGAGAAAAATTCCAAGTTCCATTCACACACAGAAACTCCTGTCTTCATGAACTTGTGATATTGTTGCTTCACTTCCCCCAGACAGATATGGAGACGAGCCACAGCCTGCCAGACCTTCTGAAGGCCTCCGAGCAGCCACAAGAGATTAGTGTCCAGCAATATTTGGAACAGAATGGCTTTTGTTTCTTGTTGAATAATGAGCTCAGAGCCAAAGTCCCCAACTCCCCCCACCCCAACCTACCCTACCCCTCAGCCTCACAAACACTTCCGACGATCCGTGACAGAAATGCGCTCAAATGGCATGTATATGAAGTCTTCAAAAGAGCAAGGGTCAGCTACATTTAGAGGTAGTTTTTAGATCCATGTTATAGAAATGCCATACCAACAGACACGTTACTATGGCAACTATTACTTACCATTGCCTGGGCTTGCTTGGAGGCTGATAAGAAACAGCAGTAGGGGTATCCCACTCTTCAAAACCATGATGCAAAGTGTTATCTGCAACCCTTCTGCAGAGCGAACAGAATCCTTCTCGCGGTCATCAGCTCACTGGTCAACAGCACCTGCCTCCTGGTGCTAACTTTCTCACCAAGTTAGACGTTCCCCCCAAAAAAGCCATGAGCTAAAGAGAAGCAGCGACGTTTGAGTGCCAACGCATGAGCAAGCCAAGATTAAAAAGCAGTTTGGATTCAAGTTTAATCTCATTTACCTTGCTCATGGTGCTTGTAATCCCCAGGAGACCACGTGGCTGCTCTCATCCTGTTAGCGACCTTCTGGGCAGATCAACAAACTTGGGGACCGTTCCAGCCATTTGAGGCTTATACACCACACACACCATAACCCCCTCACCCTCACCCTCACCCCTGTCCTGGGACCTCCCCTCCGGTCTGGGCAAAAAGCAGCTCTGTATGCTTTTTGATTTGGAATTTACAGATTAATTCAAACTCTTTCTCAATGGATATTTGATTATGAAACAAATAAGACGGGAAATGTTGCTTTGCTTGAACTGTGCAAGTATAGTCTGAAATGACACGGTTTGCAAAGTTTTATAAGGTGGGACGTAAAGAGGTTTGGTGTCTTCTCCCACGGTTCGTGAGAAGGAGATTAAGGGCAAGAGCGATAAAAGGACTTGGTCAAAGCTGCACTTGACACTCCAGGCTTGTTGTAGTCCATAGCTGTGTCCAAGTCTGCAGAAGATTTATGTTAAAATACAAGTGAAACTCAGACGATTAGAATAAGTGTATTTATTTCTGTAATTTAACCAGTGTTACCAATCCATTACACATTCATTCATTGTATTGTATGTACTTTATTTGAACAGGGACAGTGTACAGTTAAGCATTAACACAAAAGGAGAGATACATGTACCACGTTATAGCAAAGCTAATTTCCACCTGTAGTCCCTGGGCAGGCTGGTGTTATATAAATTTAAACTGATTACAATGTAGATGGATACATGACTGTGTCTTACATTTACAGGCTTTAAATAACATCATTCACAAAACATTAAGTTTAATAACAATAAATAAAGCTTCCCAACTTCTACTAGAATATTACCCTCAAACTGCTAATTTACACATCACGCGTTACAGGGAATTTAAGCCGTGTTCAGACCGATCGCGATGGAGGCGAAAAAATCGCATCAAACGCCAGGCGTTTTTCGCTTGAATATTTGATGACACTCGCTTCTATCGCGGCGATTACTCGCTCTGTTCGCCTGCGGATTTTCGTCGAGATTTCGCCTCGCCGCGTCATCCAATAGGAGGAGCTTATGGCCAGTTGCCGGTTCCGGTTGTTGTTCAACTCAGCATGGCGGGCTTTGATTTTCTGGAACGAGTCACTATACTTTATTTAATGTGGAAAGCCGAACAGCGGCGGCAGCGACGCCGTCTCTGGGTCCACGATATCCTCCAGAGACGCTCCCAATATGGGGAGTACCACCATCTGCTCCAGGAGCTGCGCCTGGATGACGGTCGATTCCAGCGGTATTTCCGTGTGTCCCAGGACCCAGTTTGAGGACCTGCTGTCCCGCGTTGGGGCTCGGATCACCGTCCGGGAGACCAACTACAGGCGCTCTATCTCCCCTGCAGAGCGCCTGTCCATCTGTCTTCGGTTAGTAAATCAAGCGGTTCTCAATAAATAAGATTCCAAATGTTATAATCCAAGTACTTTACATGTAAAGCCATTGTGCCACTGTTTAGCTTTTAGATTTATGCCAAACTAATCTGTAGTAATAGTTGCTGGTGTCATACAACTCGGGCCGCTGGCACACAGCTACGATCAGTGAGTCCTCCATGTTGAATGAAAAGATGCTTCGTCTCCGCCGCGGTTCAATGCTACGTCACTGCTCGATTCAGTCCCTGATTGGTCAACGCCCCGCGAATTGACCAAAAAGTTCAGATTTTTCAACTCGAGCGAGTAGGGCGGTGGAGGCGAAATGGCTCTAGGCGCGCGTCAAACGCCCCTTTCGCCACTTTCGTTCCGCTCTTTTCGTTCAAAACGCCCTGTTCGCCTCGCTCTACTCTCGTCATTCGCACCGCCGGCCTGTCATTCGCTCCTGAGCGCACCCGGCCATAGACATAACATGTAAATCACTCGCCCCTGACTCCTCCATCGCGATCGGTCTGAACACGGCATTACACAGTAGGCGTAAACAGCGCGTATGCGTTTACTGCGCGCTCTCTGCGCGTAACTTTTTTTTGGAGTATCTACACAGGCCGTGCGCGCAGGTCCGCGTCTTCTGATGCTCTCCCTGTGTGTGTCTATGGAGCAGTGTAGAGGACAGTACGGGCCAGAGGACTGATGTAGAGCAACACAAATCACATGCATGTGTTTGTCTCCATGGTCTCTGTGCGCTGGTTTGGCCAGACGCGAGACTTTATGAAAGAAAAAAAACGATGTCCAGAATCACTGTAAAACCTGCTGCTCCTCCTGCGGATGTTTAGATACAAGTGCAGTGTGTGTGTAGATGCGATCTAGAGCCAAGGACCGCTAGAAAAATCATGTTTTACATGAGATTTCAATGGGAGACGCGTTGGTGCGCGCATAAAATTACTGCTAATTTACACATCACGCGTTACAGCACGTACGCGTTACACGCGCAGCAGATGCGCGTAACTTTTTTCCATGTTAACCTATGATGATATTTACACTTCTAGCGTTATACGCGCGTATGACGGACGTATGACGCGAAGCTGCGCTCTAATTTAGGATGGATTTCTAATTTTGTGCGCGCACCAACGCGTCTCCCATTGAAATCTCATGTAAAACATGATTTTTCTAGCGGTCCTTGGCTCTAGATCGCAGTATACGCACACACAGCACTTGTATCTAAACATCAGCTGGAGGAGCAGCAGGTTTTACAGTGATTCTGGACATCGTTTTTTTTTCTTTCATAAAGTCTCGCGTCTGGCCAAACCAGCGCACAGAGACCATGGAGACAAACACATGCATGTGATTTGTGTTGCTCTACATCAGTCCTCTGGCCCGTACTGTCCTCTACACTGCTCCATAGACACACACAGGGAGAGCATCAGAAGACGCGGACCTGCGCGCACGGCCTGTGTAGATACTCCAAAAAAATGTTACGCGCAGAGAGCGCGCAGTAAACGCGTACGCGCTGTTTACGCCTACTGTGTAAATCCCCCGTTATTTTGTGCACGCACCGGGCGCGTAAAACGGACGACGGATCCGTCCAAACATGTCCGTTTCATCTCCGTCTCCGTTATCTCCATGAGAGTGAATGGAAGTGGCTCCATTGCCTCCGCATGCGTCCGTCCAACGCACGTCGGACCTATTCCGTCAACGGAGGGTGCAAAAGACGTGGACGGACGAAATAGAAACAATCCTATTTGTTCCGTCCGTCGACGCGTGTCGGATCCGTTTTCCATTGAAAATGCAATGGAATAATACATTTACCACACTGTTAAACATGTATTGATATGCTGTAGTCCTTGGTCATTTGTTAATGACAATGATTATTAACAAACGTGTGTAATGTTTTTCATGTATTAATTTAAATAATTGTTTCCTGATCGTAAATCTACCATTTATTTTTCGCGTAATGTTAATACGCTAATCTTTACATACACCTCGCTCTTTTTTCTCTCGCTCTGTCCCGTCTACCTCCGAGGCGCTCTCTCCTCACCGCCGCGCGCTCCCACACACACACACACACACACACACACACACACACACACACACACACACACACACACACACACACACACACACAGAGCTATACTGCACTTATGAAAGACAGATCTCACAACAACACTGGAGTTCTTTTCTCCTTTCTCTCTCCCCCTTTTCCAATTGCTTTCATTAAGTTTTGCCGCATCGCGACGTCCTCAATGCTTCAATATGCTGTGCTTTGCATAGATCATAGCCACAGCTCATACACATCACACACTGCTTCTTCTATTTAAAACTATAGCGGCTGCCTGTTGCCTAAAGTCGCGGAGAGGGGATTTGGGTCCGATAAAAGTGTATGACGCGCTAAATAAGTATAGAAAACAAACGAAGAGGCTGGATCATAATAAACGCTGCGGGCACGCGCGCGCGCGCGCGCGCACGCACCCGCGCGCGCGCACACACACACACACACACACACACACACACACACACTTCTCCATCAGCCAAATATTCATTCATTCACACAATGCCCAAACGTGTCTCCTACAAAAACAAAGCAGGCTGATAAACGGACAGCCAGAGTTGCGCACTGCTGCAGCCGGTTTGACCACTAGTCCGTTTTACGGACGGCTGACGGACAGCAGCCAACGCGCGTCAACGGAGACGCGCCCGGTGGAGTCCAGGCCTCACGGGGGATTTACACAGTAGGCGTAAACAGCGCGTACGCGTTTACTGCGCGCTCTCTGCGCGTAACATTTTTTTGGAGTATCTACACTGACCGTGCGCGCAGGTCCGCGGCTTCTGATGCTCTCCCTATGTAGTCTATGGAGCAGTGTAGAGGACAGTACGGGCCAGAGGACTGATGTAGAGCAACACAAATCACATGCATGTGTTTGTCTTCATGGTCTCTGTGCGCTGGTTTGGCCAGACGCGAGACTTTATGAAAGAAAAAAAACGATGTCCAGAATCACTGTAAAACCTGCTGCTCCTCCTGCTGATGTTTAGGCACAAGTGCTGTGTGTGTGCAGATGTGATCTAGAGCCAAGGACCGCTAGAAAAATCTTGTTTTACATGAGATTTCAATGGGAGACGCGTTGGTGCGCGCACAAAATTAGAAATCCATCCTAAATTAGAGCGCAGCTTCGCGTCATACGTCCGTCATACGCGCGTATAACGCTAGAAGTGTAAATATCATCATAGGTTAACATGGAAAAAAGTTACGCGCGTCTGCTGCGCGTATAACGCGTACGTGCTGTAACGCGTGATGTGTAAATTAGCAGTCACCCCCCGACTCCACCGGGCGCGTCTCCGTTGACGCGCGTTGGCTGCTGTCCGTCAGCCGTCCGTAA